AATATTAAAAATTTTTAAAGCGTCGGAGATTCCGCACTACATGAGTAAGTAAAATGTATTGGGGCAAATGTCAAAGAAAATAAAACGAGAGGCTGCAATATCATCTAGTTGATAAACTCCTACGTCTAAATACAAAATTAGAAAACTATGAAAAGTAAAAGCCGAAAAGAAAAAAATAATACCAAATATCAAAAATGATTTATGTAGAATACAGGACAATACAGTGCCCAACTTCCATCCACGTTGCTATTTGTATTTTCCTCTTACACACCCTCAGTAAATTAGTCCCCCCTTCCCCCGGTGGCGTGGTTGTTCTTCAGGATGCGTGAAAATCAATTCAAATTTTTGATAACTCAAGTCATGTCGAAACAAAATAAAAACAGTAAACATTCAATACTTTTGAAATGTGTGTATGATAAGCTACGTTGTGAGTTACGATTATACGAAATATGAACTTCATTAATGAAGAAGAAGCACGAGGGATACGCAAAGCGGGGCTCTGAGAACCTCGCTCCCCCTCAAAATTTCAACAGGGCCCCAAAGCCCTGCGCAATAAAACATTTAATTTCCGCAAATATGATCAATTCCAGGTTTTCACCTTGCAAGTAAATGTTTTGGGGAATTGATACACAGTTGTGGAAGAGGTTCAACGTCATAATATTTATATCTTTACATTATATTCTTTTTGTGTTCATTTATTTCCTAGTAAAATATGCCATATGTAAATAAAAAAAGTTTAATGCGCTCAGATAGCAGTTGGCCTGTCCTTTTAGGCTACCCACGCTAATGGAAACACTATTATTGCCAGATTTCTGGTAATTCAACGCTGTAAAGATTAAATTTGACACTGCACTTACGGAGACTGATAATTTTTTAAAAAATCCAAATTGAATTGTTCGGCAAGATGAGCAAGTTATAAAATTTAGAAAAAAGATATGGAGGGAAAGAGGGGGTAAGGGTCTAGGGTTATAGAACAAAAATTGAAAAATTGATCAACAAGAAATGACCACACTACTTTTCGAAACTTGACGGTCGGAACTTTAAAGGCAATCAAACAAAAGTTGCGGGTTGCATTTTACGAATATGAATTCTGTTCCTATTGTCAAGTTATATTCACAAATTAAAAAATAATTTAATAACAAAAAAAACACCTTCCAGCAGTATTAAACTACTGCGCGTATTCAACGATTAATAAGATTTCATACCAGATTACTATAAACACAAATAAGGTAAACTTGTGTCCGTTCGTCTTTGGGGGTTAGACCCCTTCCAATTCATCACTTAGGCCAAGCAAGGTGGCATTCGCCGAATCTCGTTCTGCTAATGAGGACCGAACCATTTTCTTTCGTCTTCTTCGATGGCATTCCATTAAAAAAGGATAGCTTGTAGACGCATTTTGAATCATAGGGATTATGGAGCATGGGAAGGAATAATGTGCAAGTAGATACCTTACGGTATACCGTTTAGGGCACGCAAGGTGTCATCTGACTGCTGATGAGGGGGTTTGTCATGCCTCCATACCCTTCTACTCTAATTTTAAAAACTCAAATCAATTTGAAAATACTTTTATAACTGTTTAAAGCGATATATATATGTGTGTGTTAATATTTCAAGAAATAGGAATTTTGAAACCAAAATATATGCTATCGAAGAAATGTTCCCTTTCGGTTCTGCAAGAGACCTGAACCTAAATGGAACCAACCTTATATGTCCCTTCAATAATGACAATTATAATAAACCGAGCATTAGTGCTTAAATTGCCGTCTGGTCGGTAAATCCGATATTCGTAACCGGTAATTATTCTTAATGACAATTTACAAATAATATTTTATACAATTATTCCCCAGTACTTCAATAACTTCAAAGCAAAAAAAAAAAAAGATATTACATTAAATTATACAGATGTAAATAACACCTGCGAACTTGCCACTACAGGCAATAGTCATATAATAAATGAAGGTTATGGGATAAAAGCCAAAAACCTCTATCCTCAGCTTCAGCAAAAAAAATTGTAACGGAGGATTATGAAACAATCCCCAATTGTTTACTCTATTAAAATATCACTGAAAGTGGTACATCGTTGATTCAAGGCATTTCAGTACTTATTACGATTTTTACAGCGTTAAGTGGGAAAAGTGTAGCATATACGTTTCAACAAAAGCTTGTAATAATAGAATAAAAAAGTACCAACCCAAAATATTCAGAGCCCACTTAAAAAAATAATTAGGCAAATTAAAAAATTGTTCAACTCAATACAAATATTTTCTCACATTAAAAAATTACGCACTTACGTTCACGTCTAATCACTTAACGTAACTAGCGAATGGTTTCGGAGAAATGTCTAAATGGACTTTTTATGGAACTTCCGACCTTATCATTCGTAATAAATCACATTATAGCGACTTCAACACATTGGTGTCACTGTTAATATCTAAGAGATTAAGTTGAAGTCCATTAAAGAAACATTTTTTTGAAATGTTGTTTTAAAACAACTGGCAAATAAATAATTCGCCTTATTAGGCAAAATTAATTTAATGACAAAAAACGCGCATGCGCCTTTCCTTGCCTTAATAACTACGTTTCAATGCCATGATACGTTCCGAGCTCTTTCTACTGCCAGAGTATGGAACACAGATGGATGATAATTAGACATTAGGCTTTTCTATTTTCCAAATAATCAACAAAAATGTTTATTTGCTTGGCCTTCTAACACTAACTGCAACTGTTCTATCTTAGATAAATGTAAACAAGATATGCTACGACGAGGAAATATTCACCCAACAAGAACGTGTCATTAGCAGGACTCTCAGTCGCACTTACCTGTAAAAAATTGCTTTGAAGTCAGAAAACGCAGATCAACAGTTTATCAACTCTTTCTACTTTCTCACAGGCACATTGTTGAAAGACACAGAACCAGTAGTAAACACGTCCAACTATTCTGGAAGGACGGGGAACCTTAGAAATAGTGCAACACAAACGACGCACAGCAAACGTGTCACAGACCAAAGTAGCTCATGCAGACTGGCCCCGACTGCCCTATCGGTAGCCTGGCGAACAGGAACATGCGCTTCCTCGCGAGTTCGCCGCAAGAGTGCGTAGTGGTGCTGTTCGCTCTGCAAGGCACAGCGATCTGAACAGCTTACGTGCAACAAGTATTTTCTAAAAGAAAAATGTAGCATTCTGCAGAATTAATGATTCCACACAGAAATTTTGAAAATTACATTTCCGTAGGTTATGTATTGCAGTAAAGAATATTATGCCATCTCATTAACCCGAAATCTGTCATGAAAATATAATCAATCTTTTTTATTTGTAATTGATAGGGAGATAATTTTTATGCTCTAAAAAAATTATTGAAATATGCTTTTAAAAAATGCCTGCATGATCTAAAAATTCTGAAATATGCAATTCAAGTTAACAATATTTCATTTCCTCTAAAACCTTTCTTGATAAAATCCAGGAGAGGCATGCTTGGAATGAAAGGAGACATTTTCTGGCAAACATAAACTAATCTACTCTACTTCGTTAGAGAAATAATTGATGTAAATATTCACCTTATTGAAGTACATTGTATGTCTTCTTGTATTTTTTCTGACTGGTTTAAAAAAATGTCATTAAGAAATATCCTACATTTGCACAAGTATTTGATCCTCTATAGAAAACAAATCAACGCAAACTGTGACAAGCACTTTCAAATAAATGAATGGTCACAAAAAAATAGTTTCTATGAAAAGATGAAACATTTTATAGGTAAGTATCTATTTTAACAAAATTTGCAAAATATGTGCCTATAACTACACAAATATGCACCAACAGGAAAAATCAGTCAAATATGCATTAACATATTAATCTATATAGCATTATATTCTAACCAAATGCCAAGAAATCACTTAGGCACTGAAGCAATGGAAAAATATGCAAAATCATAGACATCCACTCCCTAATACATAATGTCCTGTGAAAATGGATTTACCTTGTTTGTTATAAAAAATTTCCAATACAAGAGTTTAAAAAACAAATGGTACTATATGTGTACATATAAATTTGTATTAAAAATTGACATAAAAAATTTTTAATTTTTTTGCTCGTAATTTACAAAAATTTGACAGAACATTTGCAATTACAGCAATGCTAAATTTATCATCTACGTCAGAGAAAAGGCCAAATAACATCTTATTCACAGTACATCAGATAAAATAAACATCAAATTTCATCAAAGGCAGTGCAATATGTAATGATTAGAGATACTTAAAAGAATTATTTAGATTTGTTATGCTGTCAAAATATGAAATCCATGAATACAATTATTTTCATAATGAAAAAAGAAAAATGTTTCAAACACATAACAAGTGTTTCTGAAGTTCCCTCAAAAGTAGAACAGAATAATTGAATACGGTAGATGAGGGGGGACAAATTTATATGATTTTACAAGAATGTAAAGTAAATTTAAAATGTATTGGGGGTGAGAATGGGGGTAAATTATTGTATGAAGAAATTAAAAAACAGTTAAAAGTGTAATTTCTAGTTAAAATTATCATTGATCCCTTATGAGATTATCTGTAGTTCAAATAAATACGAATGGATTATTTTCAATGTTGGAGATAAAAATGAGTTGTTTTTTATTACTTAGAAATACTATTCTATATGTTTGATGGTGAGCTTTCCTCAACCTGGCCTTAAAATACATACTAGTACATATTATTAAAAAGGGAACACCAATATTGCTCTTAAGCATTTTATCTTTTGTAAACTCACTTAATTTCCAAGCTGAAAGTACTCTACTGGGTATTATAACAAAGTATAAAGAATGGAAACATTTAATTAGGCAACATTGCAAACTCAAGAAATAACCCAAAACTTAGAAAATCATAAGCTACAATTTCTCCTTGCTGAGTTGTTTTTTGTTGTTTTATTTATAACTTAGGGGGAATGAAGCACATGATAAGGCAATGTTCTTAAGAGAAGAATTAAGGCTTATTCTAGAAACAAATAAGAACAAGTTTGAATACTTAGAAAAACAAGTTTATTTCCTGAGTAATGATACCTCACTATCAATGAAACAGTAGATAAAAAGTTTTAAACAAAGCTTAACTGTTAAATACATTTCTTAAATTACTGCATATCATTCAATAAAAAAATATATGATGTTATAATCTGTAGAAATGTGCTTCCTAGTTACAATTCGTACTTGAAGAGAAAAGACTAGCATACTCTAATCAAAGAAATAGGTGGCAGGACCTAAATAAGAAAGACTTTACAATTATCAAAATTCTTGAAAAGTAAATTCAATGTCGCTCATAACTAAGAAATAACTATTTATACAAGTGTTTCAAAAACAATAAAAAATGTTACTTAAATTTAAACATGGATATTATAATGCAGTTGCACAATAAAATCTAAAGATATAAAGACTTCAATTTTAAATTAAGATATGAATATAAATGGCATTACTGTTTTTTGAAAATATACAAACACATTAAAGAGATTCTGAAATTTTAATATTTTCTGAGTTCAAGAGAATATCAGAAAGAAAGAAAAAAATTTTACTAAAAAACGAAAAACAACACCATACTGGCAGTTTCTTCCTTTTCTTTCAGTGTTTTTGGGCAAACAAGCAACTTGATGCAAGCAATACATAGCTATGAGTGTTTATTTAGGCTAAAAATCACAGTGTAGTCATAAACGTCATCCATAATATAATTTAACACTTGCTAAGAAACCATAAATACGCCTACTTACAACAATTGTGTAAGAAAAGGAATCTTAATAACGTACAAATTATAACATCTCACATGAATGAAAAAGTTAAATAAGCATTTATGAAAACATGGAAAAAATATTACAACTTGACAACTTAAATACTTTAAATCACATACACTACTTGTTTAGATAATTAGAGTAATGTTCTTTTAGCTTCTTTCATTAAGAAGCAGTCTTTGAACACTTGCACCAAACTTCTCAACAAAAAACAGAAATACCAGGTACTGGACTACCTATATTATATAATACAAATTTCTCACTGACTTCTAATGCTTTCATAGCACTCCAGAATGAAAAGAATTGCAGGACACACAACAGCTGCATTAATATTAAATATCACACCATAAAATGAACTATCATGTCTTCAAAGTCTCAAATTCAATCACGACATCCAGTCCAATATGGATCACTAGCATCAAATTTTTCCATTTCTTCCTATAACAATACAAATTAGGGATATTTAAGGAAGATTTAAATACACAAAGAAATAAAAAGAACAAAAATAAGAAAGCAAAGCTATTTTTTTATCATACAATACTTTAAACTATTCAATTTTATTAGATAATAAATTATCTTACTTTCACTTCCATTGCAAGGGCCTCATCATCTTTATTAAGAGCACGTAACATATAAGGCACTGATCTTAAAGGAACAATATGGATGCTGCCAATTACATTTCCAGTGGGGCCTCTGTTCAAGCCTCTGCATACAATTTCAGATCTACAAAAGAAATTAAAACATTTTACAAGACAAGATACATTTACAGACTGAATCATTTCAGTATCAATTATTTTAGAGCTGGAATTTCATGAAAAATATTCCAAAAGAAACTAGCAACATTCTTGGAAGACAACAAAACCAATTATGGATGCAGTCAAAGAAACAAAAAATAGCTTTCTGAAATTACATTAACAGAATCTATAGACAAAAACATTCTACTTAAAATCAAATATTTAATAGGTGCTCTTCATTACAGAAAACAAAGAAAATTAAGAAACTTTGTGACAGATTTGCAAATCATGAAAATAAATTCTAATCACTCAAGTTCAAGAGAGCTTCACACATTCGTGTCAAATCTCTCTTGGATGTACCAGAAGTAATGCCTTTTTCGTGTTATTTTTATTAAACATCCCGTCTATATTTAATAAGCAACGAAAAGACGACAGTTTTAACAATTTATAAAAAATCATTAACGCACAACCCTGTAAGGGTTCTACTGCTGGAAAGTATTACAAAGTTCCCAAAGAGATTTATGTTATAAAAACATAGTAGTTTGCAGAGAATAACATAGGTGATGAAATCAAGTGCACATGCAAAACTCTCAAAACCCTTTAACATTATGTTATACTCAGAAATGATGCATCCTAAAGCCTTCAAACAAGGATTCCATGACCTCAAAGGAACACGAGTTGGGCTTTTATGCTGTTTATCACAAAATGAAATGTTTTGGACTTTCTGTTGTTTTGGGGTAAATCCGTCACGCTCTTCAAAGGGTTGCCAGAAACCTTTAAATATCTTTCTATTATATCAAAATATATTGAATTCATTTTTTAACAACAATCCACTACTCACTTATCTAGACATTCAAAAAGTTCAGGGCGCCTTCTCCTTGACAATTCCAGGAAATTAATTTCAACTTTTCGAGCCTCCAAAATTTTTAATATTACATGGCGACCATTGAATGGAGTAAAGTAATCGACAATTTCATCAGTAAGCACATAAGGTCTTCCATCCAAGTTAATTTGATGGATTTTCTTGCTGCAGAGATCTGAAATGATGAATCAAAATAAATTACAGCTCAACATTCTCAGAACACGAACATAAAAGTTCTCGTTACTTACATATCTTTTTAACAAACTGCTGACTCATCATACGCTTTCCAGAACTATCTTTATGCCTAAAGAAAAAATGACATTCTCATTAACAAACACAAACAAAAAAATTCACATATTACTAACCCTCGCAAAATAAAATGAAAAAAAAAAATGATATCTTAACTAAAGTTCATATAATGAATGTTATGAAAGTAACATATTTCATTAAGAAGGCAGCAAAGAATATTTCATCAAATATCATTTACACAAGTGCTGCTGAAAAAGTCTCTCAATTCCATACCAGGAAATGTTACATGTTCTTCACACAGACAGACAGACTTAATTTTCTTTTCAAGAACAATGTCAAATGGTAAGAAACAAAATATTACTGTAATTCCAGTTGAGCCTGTCTCACGAAACATGCAGCCAATTTTCATATATTGCCCCTTCGATCTCCTCTGTAAGCCAGTTCAATTAGTTATAAGAAAAAAGACAAGATTTCAATGGAAATGCATACCTTTATTTAAGTTTTCTAGAGTTTTCAATCTTTGTAAATACATATTCCACATCAAACTCACTTTAAAAAGGCATACTTTTTCCAAGCATATTTGCAAGTTTTGGTAGTTTTTTGGAGATTTTTTCTCCAATTAATACTGCATATTTAAGACTTTTACCTAATATATTAAGTAATTTTATATTACTTTTGCATAATTTGTGAAAAATAAAAGCGACATAATTTATATAAATAGCGCATTAGTCTTAGATCCTGACAGTATGCACTTGTCTTTGCTTATTCTTGTACTACAAATTTTAACTCTCCTGTACACATGCGAAATGAGTTCATGTGCTATAAGCAACAATCACAAAATCAATTAATGCCAAACGATTAAGTCATAAACAATAATGAAGATTAAGAAAGCCAGAACTCGGTGTCACTTATCTCACGAAGTGAATGTAACTGCTAAAGAGAAATTACATGAATTGTGTTCAATTCAAATACTAATTTTAAATTTCTCCAAAATGTAAATAAAATAATTTGTAGTGAAAAATCAGAAAAAACAACTTGTTAACGCAGTGGCTCAGATTTTATCTTTGAACTATGGTCCAATTACACCTTGCAACATAGAAAGCATTTTCTGCAATCAAAACATTTATTTCTGACAAGAAGATGAATTTGACAGAGTTAATGCCAATTATATGTTTTACCAATTTTTACCTTGCATAATGGAAGTTTGGCAATCTGAGTGCATGTTTGCGCGTAAATTTTAGTGTTTGACTATGCATGAAAATCCTGTCTAGTAATAAAAATAATTTACTATAAAACTGAAGTTTCTATTTCTAGTAAATATCAATCAATCAGAAATGAGATCAATCTCTCAAATTATTAATACATTACCCCAACAAATGACTTGAGCATCAATCACCTTTACAAAAACATTTGCACTGACAGTCCTCAATATAAAGTTTGGTCATGGCCAAAGCAGTATTCTTCTACAAGCACACGCATCTTAACCCTGTGACTGGTTATATAATGTAAGAGTGAAAAGGAAAGGATTTCTTTGAAGATCGTCCATTGGTCTGCAGCTTTTCAGCATTTAAATTACCTATATTACTAATTTCCAATGCACGCCGTAATTCACACAAAACTATACAACCCCCAGCCATGTGAGAGATGACTGGTTTTGTTAGATACCTAGGAACTTGGGAAGAACCCCAAAATCATGAAACTTTTACGAATTTTAACCAAAAAATTCAAATATTTGTGTTATTTCACCTAATATCACGTTACTTGTACCGACTAAATTTTCGTACTCAGCGTGTCACTGTATAAGACATAGCTGACATCATGTAAGAGTATTGCTCCAAGGAAGAGGCTACCCACCATTAAATATTTGCTATTCACCAGTTTTATGGAATACCAACTTTTGGAATTTCTTGGTATATAAATAACTGTTGGACTGTGAGTCATTATATACAATGCTATGGTTTTGATAAAGACTGTTTTTTTAAATATTAAATTGTTGCAGTGGTATAAAAGTGTATTAGATTTGTTGTTTTTGAGCAGTGTGCATGCTACCTTTCGGAAAACAATTTTGTGTGTTTTTAATCAAAAGTATTTTTGCTGCTGCAGGCTGCTAGTTAGGTGAAAATTGCCTTCATTGGTGTGTTAGCAGAGTGCTGTTTTTCTTAATTGATTTTTATAAGTTGGGTGTCTTGAGCCAATTGTTACTGTGATAGAATTCTAGCATGCAATTTTTGCTATTTCAATCCAAATATTTATATTCTCTCTGCTCTTTATATTCTCTCTCTTAAACTTATTCTCATTTTATATCTCTTATTTTTAGCTATAATGAACAATCACTTGCCCAACAATTACCAAAATGTGAAGTACTATACATGATTTTACTTCTCTATCTTTGATCACAATACTTATTGCTATCTTCTATTGCTAAGCAATAGCTTATTGAATTGCACACCGAGGAAACTATCGAAATGCACAAAATAGCACTCAATATTGTAATGATTCTATAGTGGCCCAATCAGCTTTAATTTTGTATTACTTATGGGGATTCCTATCCAAAAAATATTTATTGGCAGCAGGTTCTTAAACTGTAAGTAATAATTGCAAAACAAAAAACACCCCCCTCCCTCCCCACACACACACACAAAACTAGATGTTTCCACCTTGCTCCAGTTGCTCAAACTTATCTATAATTATTTGAAAAATTCATGAGCCTGTTTTACAAAAATCTATTCACAGAGATTTAATTTCAACTTAAAAGGCAAAAACATAAAGGGTACACTCATTTCTTTCATTTTCATTTTTCAATTAAATAAAGGTTCAAAAAAAAAATTGACATTAACTTAGTTTAACAAAAGACAAACTTTATAAACCAAAATCATAGTCTAATGACCTCATTTGATTATTCTTCAATCTTGTATTGTAATAACATTTTCAATAATAATTCATATAGAACTACATAATCTCTAATTGATGTATTTATGTATTTTGTTTTGTTTTTTCACAGAATAACTGTTTTGCTGGTTCATCCAGTTCTACAAGAAGATACTAGACATCTCACTATTTGAATGAAGAAATTCTACTCTACATTATATTTTAGAGGTAATATAACACTTGTTTTATACAGGATGTCCAGGGATAAAATGTCAAAACTTTGAAAATAAATTCTTAAGACAATTTTAGGCATATTTTGTCCAATAAATTCCTTGGATATTCTGAACGGCTGAGCCACAACAAGTACTCAAAAGTTTGTGTGAAAAAATTACTTTCTATGCAAAAATTTGCACTGTGGAAACAGATTAACACACAAGAAATATGTGAATTGTTTATTATTTACAAAAGAAATGAATATATTTGTTTACAAATAAAAATTAACACAAATAAAAAAGCAGTCTAACTGTGTATATTGGGTGCTTTTTTATTTCTGTTAATTTACTTAATACGCCCTGTATAACGAACAAGAAATAAATATCACACATTGTTCATAATATTGTCAAATTTTAAATTACTTAATTAGACTACAGTCTTTTCTAAAAAAATGGTAGTCCAAATGGAAAGGAATGTAGTAAACACGATTATTATCCAATAAAACAGCATATTTCTACATTTTTCTATACCATAAATTTACAAGAATATAACAAAAAAACAACCTTCAATACTGTGAAATAAGTTTACAAAATATTTATAATAATATGCTCAACTTATTTTCACCCAAACTGGTGGTAAATTCACAATTACAAAAAATAAGACAAAAATAGAAGAAAATGTACCAGTTGGTTGAACTTTGGTTAGCTGAGTTTCGAAATGGAGTATTCCTTGATGAATCTCGAGCAAGTGGCCTTTGAAGACTTTTCCTACCGAGTTCTTCTGAACTCCAAGTTGTTCTCCAACTGGCTGTCTGACATGAAAGTAGTGTATCAGACACATTATCCTTAGATTGATCAGGACACCTGGTTGGTGCAAGAATGTGTGAATTTTGAGACATTGCTGGCTGAGTTGGTCCAGAAATGTAGGTTGCAGACACTTCACTTGACAATTTAGGTCCAATAACTGGCTGCACCTGTGAACGCAAACAACAATTTCAAATCTCCATTTAACTTTCGCCTTCTCATAAAAATAGTGATGTTATAACATCTCTCATCTTATTCTCATTTTATTAGTAACAGATACATATTATAATTTCGCAAATTAGATTTTACCATTCTTTTGTCCTTGCAAAACATTTTTTTTAACAAAATATGATGACGATTAAAGTTTGAGAGCACTTTAACAGCGAAGGACATTGGCGCCTGTGTCAATTTGTTGGGGGGGGGGAGGTAAAATGTAAGTACAACTGAACATAAACATGATCAATTATTTAAAAAAGCTGAAAAGAGCCGGATAACACTTTAAAATATCCAATTGTAAGGCAAATAATTGGCATAATCCTCTTCTCTTAGATTATGCTGTAAATGTCAGACTCTCTTAAGAAGCTAAAAAGCTTGAAGAAAGAAGATTAGTCATTTTCAAATACCCTTGCAAAAGAGCTAGCAAGGAGCCTGCTCCGCCGGCTATCTCTTACCTTAGAACAGTACATGCTCCATGGTAAGATCCGTATTGCAACTATTGCAAGTAGGGGTCACCGCGGAGATGTCCGTGGGAGAAATGATTGTGACCATTCCAAAGGCATGTCAGAATTATCTCCTCGCATCTTGACCCACGAGATGATGAGAACCAAGGCTTTACAGAATCCTTGATTCTCATGAGTTTTAAGAATGAGATCTGCCACTGTTTGGCATGCGTTGATAATACATTTGATAAACAGCTTGAAATAGTTTGTTGGGACTGTGAGGATATCTACCTCAGTTTTCTTTGTGGCAAGCTTTGCTGCCGGGTCAGCAATTTTGTTCCATATTATCCCAACATGACCGGGAATCCAACAAAAAACCAAATTATAACAATGAACCAGTAAATTATGGATTAGGTGTTGGATGATTATTGCCAGAGGGTAACAAGGAGAGAAGCAGGCAATAGATTCTAGAGAGCTTTTTGAATCACTGCAGATTACAGCTTCTTTTAATGTCATCAATTCAGCTAACTTAAGTGCCTCCAAGAGTGCGTATTTTTCTGCAGTATAAGCACTGCATGTAGAGTCTAGTTGAAGACTCTGCATGGCACTGTGGCAGTACAATGCATACCCATTACCATTCTGGGAGGAACCATCAGTGTATATGAAGGTATAGCCGAGACATGGATTTTGTCTCCTGGAATCCTGCAGAAATGTACGGGGGGCATGAAGATTTGGGGAAGTGTGTTAATCCCAGGTTCTATTTTAGGCTGGAGAAAGCTTCCAAGGGGAACAAGATTTCGAGGGGGGGGGGGGGGGGCACAAGGATGGGGAGTTTTATATCAAGTTTCTGCAAGAGCCTTTTAGAGACAGATACCTGGAGGATGGGGTACCAATGGTCTGACTTTGTACAATGTTCTGTGACTTGGGCTTGGCGCAAAGGCATATTTATGGCCAATATTTCTGCACCGTAGGAGCCTATACTTCGGCTCAGGGATGGTTCCCCAGCCTTGGCCAAGAGGCATTCTATACAACTCATGCAGTAGGCGTATACCGGCATTGTGTATGGTATTCAATGAATGGAGGGTTGATGGAGAAGCTGATCCATACACAATACACCCATAAACTAAGATAGGACGGATGATTGTCCTACATAGGCACAAAAGACATACTCTGTCTGCACCCCATGATCTACCAGTATGGGCGTGAAGGAGGTTCAATGGAGTTACACGGCATCTCTTCAAGTTTTCAATGTGTTTTTGCCATGTTGAACTCTTGTCGAATGTCAGGCCAAGGAAAATGGCAGATTCAACGAAGGGAAATTGATGACCCCCCCCCTCCCACCAAAAGATCAGGATGATTATGGAGGTAATAAATTCTACAGAAGTGCATGCAACTAGATTTTGAGGTGGAGAACTTTAATCCAGTTTTATTGCTCCATTCTTGCAATTTGTTGAGGACAAACTGTAACTGCCTCTCAATAACTTGCATGCTCTTTGAGGAGCAGAATATTCCAAAGTGGTCAACAAAGAGCTTTCACAGGCTCTCGAATTGCTGATGTGATTCTATTAATAGCCACAGCAAACAGAGTGACACTGAAAATTGATCCCTGGGGAACACCGTTTTCTAACTGGTGACTTGAGGATAACGTGTCACCAAGGCGGATGAGGAAAGATATTAACGAAACATAATTTACTAGAAACGAAGGGAGCCTTCCCCTAAGGCCACAAGAATGCAAGGTGCAAACAATGCTGTACATCCAGGTACCAGGTAGTACATATGCTTTCTCTATGTCGAAAAAAATTGCGTGTGTTTACTATTCGTTCTAAAAGCTTGCACACACAGCTTGTGAGCAAGATTGGGCGGTAACTTGAAGAGATTGTTCTGTACTTTCTTTCTTTAGGGATTGGAATAACAATGGCTTCGTGCCAAATCCTTGGTAAGGAATGTTTATCCCAAATCAAGTTGAAAATGCAGAGGAGAAAAGAATAAGCATTTTCCAGTAGGTGTTTAAGCATTTGATTAAGTATCTGGTCTGGTTCTGGAGCAAGTATCTTTTGCACATGCGATGCACAGGAAAATTCATCTATGGAGAAAGGAGCATAGTAGTCTTCCTCCACACGGCTCGAGAAATCTAGTCTGCAGTTCTCAATTTTTCTTTTGGTTTTCAGAAAGCTACGAGAGTAGTGTAGGGAGCTGAAGATATGCTCATAGTGAGAGGCCAATTCTTCAACTATATCTTCTGGTGAAGTGATGAGATTTTCATTTACCAGAAGCCCTGAAATAGACGTCAGAGGAAATCTTCCACTAATCTGATGTTTCGCCACACTGTTTTAGAGGGCGTACGGCAAGAGTGATGAAATATAGGCTCTCCAGGATGCGGCCTTACTTATGGTCAGTCTAGCTCTGGCTCGTGATCTTTTATAACTGATTAGATTATCCGTAGTTGGGAACCTACTAAGCTTTGCCAAAGTTCGTTTCGATCCCGGCAATAGCGGCGACGATGGCGTAATGGTTAGCGTAACAGACTTATTCCCAAGTTTGCGGGTTCAAACCCGATCGAAGAAAAAAAATCCTTCTTCGGAGGGGAAGTAAATCCGGCTGTCCCATGTTTGTAGATTTACTTGCATGTAAAAGATCCTCAAGCCTAAATGACGCCTCTGAACTAAATTTAAATCGTCAGCCCCTTACTTTCTCCGCTAGTGGGAGAAAGCGTAGCGAAATTTGCGTGGTCAGACGGAAGAGCGAAACTGATGGCCCAAGTCTCGCCATGTAAAATAAGGTATTTCAATTCAATCCCGCACCGCGGTGGCACAGTCCACGAGAGGATATCGTGAGTGACCCGATGACTTCGGGATGACAATTGACCCGCATGGAGAACGGCATCAGTAAAATGGGCAACTATAGCATCAATATTGTTTGGGCTTGTTTCCGACATCTGTATTTTTTTTTTCTCGAAAGTTTCCCACTCAGCTCGGTGGGTTATCCAGGGAGGGGGACGAGCAACGTTTGGATCGGGTATATCGAAATTGACGTGCTACCCCAGGTGGGATTGTGAGCATTTAAGTCCCCCATAATATGAAAAGGGGCGGGCAACTGAGATACTTCAAGTTCCTCGGATTCGGATTAGTCTCCGTGCTCCCCACACACCACGGAGTCCAATAAGGGGACACCCGACTGAGGTGCCAGGGTTGAAATTAGGATATAGTGAGAAAATGTCACAGCGCTGCCCCGCCATGGATCCCCCCGCCCACCCTGGACTTCAGTACAGAACCTAGTCCGAGCCGATTGATCGGAAATGGGTTGGCTCCCGACGGCCCGTCTAGAGGAGTCCGAGGCCAAAGCAAGTGTGTTGGAAACCTACAAGTAATGTTCCCCAAAATACGTAAACAACGTTTCCCTAGGTGCAAGGCAGAAAGTAGCACAAAGGGTAGTTGGGAACCAAACAGGTCCCTCAATTGTCAGGGCACCTTCCCTTCGACACGGGTCGCCATGCACGGCAAACACAAGGGTGGGCGTTACGGGAAGGGGGGCAGTGCAATGGAAGGGGTAAGAAGGAAAGAGACAGGATGTTATAAAAGAATGAAGGATAGGGAAGATCAAGATGACTGGAGAGAGAAAGAAATACTTGAGAGCCCTCCCTGCATCCCCCAGCCAGGACCTGGACCGATCCACCTCGACGGGACTATCATCGTTGTTGTTATTATTATTATTATTATTGTTGTTGTTGTTGTTGTTGTTGTTGTTATTATTATTATTATTATTATTATTATTATTATTATTATTATTATTATTATTAGCCCATTACAATCCCTTATGAACCAGGGCCACCTACTTTCCTAGGTAAGTGCTGCACAGATTTGGGTCCGTGAGTTTGGTTGAGTACAACAATGCAAATGAATAAATTTCAAACATATTTAACTGGTATTGATTACTACTAACCAAATAATTTCATGTAATTTGGTTGTTAATACAATCTGTCATTTCATATTGATATTGTTTCCAAAACACTTCGCTGATTTCCCTTTTTTATTTCCACGATTCAGATTGTTTGACGAGACCTCCATGACGCTCTGCATGCAGCCAGTCTCAACTAATTCCTGCCAGCTGACTACTTTAAGTTGTCCTCCCGCCTTTTTTCGTTGTTTTCCTGGATTACACCATCCAATTCCTGGTTCCCATACGGTTGTAGCATAGACCCACCTGTTATCCTGTTGTCTTATGACATGACCTTCTCATTTCCACTTTTGAGTCAAGGCTTGTTCAATGACATATTTTATTTTTGTTCTACTTATTATTTCCATACATGTAACAAGGTCTTTAAGAGATATGTTAAAAACTGTTCTCTCCATTTTTCTCTGGCATCTAGATAATTGCAGCTTTTGTGCTGCTGTTAGCGACTTAAGTCTGACTCCCGTACACTAATGTGAATAAAATGCAAGAGTCTTATGTATCTCTCTTTTATTTTAGACTGAGTTTTTTGTCCAGTAGGATAAAAGACAGACTCCAAAAAGTTTGCCATGCAAGAGTGATGTCTACTAATTTCACTGTTGAGTCTAGCTGTTGAGTGATCTCAAACATACTCTTATCTGGTTTGTTTCCACCTTTATTGGTCTCCTTGCAATTTGTCATGATTTTGGTTTTATTTAGGTTTATTTTATGTGCATATTCCATGTATATCACATGTTTATTTAGCAGTAGTTTTCACTTAGACAAACTTGCAAAATCAGAGATCATCTTTTCCCTTAAAGAACTTTTGAATCAGCTTGATGATGCCATTGCAATGCTACATTGCCATTTTCTCATGTTGCACACTACGTTGCAGTCTGGTAATCCTAGAGATGTATTTGAATACATACAGTACATTTGTTTCTTGGATAATCTGAACAGACTACACCCCTAATTAGTTCAAATTACTGAGGTTCTACTGTATACACACAAACATGTAAGAGAAAAAAATAACAAAAAGAACAAATAAAAGATTGAAAGAAAGAGAGAGGAGGGGGAGACAGAAAGGGAGATGGGGGAGAGGGAGTAAGAGGAGGAGTGCAAGTGAGAGAGAGAGAGAGTAAGAGTGTGAGAGAAGGAGTGAGAAGGGAAAAGAGAGAACTTGAGGAAAACCTCTCATGGCTTCTGACTACACTATGTGTATGAGACATCTAGATATGAAAAAAAATTGACTTGCGTTATTAAGAATCCATAAAATTTGTTTTTTCTTATGAAAAATTGGCACTTTTCCTGCAGAATTATATATTGTTTTTATAATATAACTACTTTTGCTACATTAAGTATATGAGAAAGTAAAAATGAGCAAGCACTATCTGCTCAAGAAAGTTTTTGTCTCATTGTCAGCTCTAATATTTAATTTATTCATGAAGGTACTTACTTCTTTTGAAAGATTGGTCTGTGCCTTGCCCACTGAATTGGCAATTCTTTCATCTACTTTTGATAGATTATTGTGAAACTCTTGTTTTTGTGCTTTTACACCAGGATGTTCCCGATAAGTTTCACTCTGTTGAACAAATTGTCTAGAGTAAATTGAATCTTGACGCTCCTGTAAAATATTAAGATCTACATACCCCAGCAAGTTCTACCATTGGAACTTCATATTTCACATAACAACAGTAATACTTTTAAAAATAAATTGTCAAAATACCCTTACATTTGATATTGAAAGATCTTCCAACTCAGCACTCAGCATTTCTGATACTGCAGAAGTCTTCTGAGATTCTTGAAAAGAATCATGAATTGAAGGTATTCCAGAACTTCTGCAAGAATTTCCTTGGGATACAGTTAATAAATGTTCTTGTTCTAATAGGTGATCAGTAGTATCTTCAAATTTATCTAACCAGTCCTTTGTATCACCTTTCCCAACCTTTTTCTTTTCACTAGATTCAAAAGAATATTTTTCACAAAATGAAGTCTGAATTCCACTTGAAACCTCACTATTTGTTTTCTCCTCTTTAATCATATCAAGATATTCTCTTGCAAGTAATTTATTGTGAATTGCAGCTTTCTTTTCTCTAGATGTATTTTCAGCTGCATTGGTGTGTCTATTATTCTCAGCACAGGTCTTCATAACATATTCTTGTTGAGCTTTTTCTATCATTTCCTGTTCATGACAGTCATCTTCATGTAAGTCAATTTCTTCCTCAAAAGGGGTTTCGACAAATTCTACCTGAGCAATTTCTTTCTCTTCAATTTCTGTGCATCGACCTTTCACACCAGAACTGATATATACGTTTTGTGAAATTTTCGAACTGCCTTTCATTTGTGTAGCCTCACTTTCTTCTTCAAGATGGTGAACATTATTTACATCTCTATCAATTTGATGCACAATTTCCTTCCTTGCTGACTTGGTATTACACTCCCTTTGTGTGTCAAGAATATTTTGTAAAGGTAATTCTTTACAATACTGATCCTCTAAATTACAAATTTCAAGAAGAGACCTATCCACACAAGTATTTGTCACAGCAGATACATTAATAGATTCTTTGTCTAAATAACCACTTTCACGTGCTTTTTCAATTTTACTTTGAGAATCATTGCAATTATGAGTATCATCAACTGAAGTGAGGTTGGTATGTGATGAAGCCTTCTTTGTTAAATCTTCTAAAACACTACATTGTGAACCAAGTCCTAAATCATTTTTAAACTTGTTACCCTGACTAAATGCATCAATTGTTAGGAAGGTTGAACCACAAATGCTATTTTCTACAATGTCTTTAGAAGTTACTTCAGTCGAATCCTCTAGAGCAGATTCAAAATGAGAGGAAACATCACGATTATTACTATCTTTATTTTCACTCTCAAGAAATTCACTTCTGGAACATTGTTTCAACAAGGATATACCATCCTCATTTGTCATTGAACTGAAATCAGACGGGATGAACTCTGGTACTGCTTCAAGGGAAGACACCTCTCCAGTACTCTTTTCCTGAGTCAACTTTGTATCACTTCCTTTATCTACAGAAGCTACTTCAGTTTGTGTTGCTGTATTAATGCATGCATCCCGAGCAACAGAAGAATTTTCCTTAAAATTACTTTTCGTAGATGGAGACTGATCAGGTGAATGTACTTCTGAAATATTCATGTGATTTTGAGACGACATTGTAGAATAGCTCGGAGGTAAAAACAAACCAGGAGGCAATGGTGGAAATGCTGAGGCAGCCATCTGTTGATGACCCAACAAACCTGTCAATGAAACACAGAATTAAAGCTTTCTTTTTTTAAAATAAGTGAAGGTAAATAAATGTCTTCACTATCTCAAACTTAAGTAGTTTTTCAAACACTAGTCTTGATAATATTATAAATGTTTCTTTAAAATAATAATTAATGTGCTAAAACTTACCTTGCAAAAATGCTTGCTGTCTACATTGCTCATAATACCACATGTTGCAAAACTCCAATGGATTTGGTAACGGAGGCACATTGAAAGGCGCCAAAGAAATTGGAGCAAGAGTATTAACTGATGGAAAGGATGGCATAACTGGAAAATTGGGAAAAGTTTGTGGAAGTGTAGGCCAATTGGAGTAAGCATAATAGTTCTGAAAATAGGGAGCTTTTGTGTGTGAAAAATTTGCATTTACTCCTGAACTGATGCCTTTCACAGTTTCACCATGATCACTTGTTTCATTTGCAGTGTCTCTAACACCGTCTCTTTCTTCACTTTCGATATCATGACTAGCATTCGTTTTGGTTGCCTCAAGTTCAGTTTCACTTTGTTGATTCCGATTGTTTCCACTAACAACACTACGAGTGTGAGATTCTGTTCTGTCGCTAGCATCTGATTCAATCTCGCACTTTGAAGTATGGGAGAAACCAGGAGGAGGTGCACTCTGTTGTCGATGTCCTAAAGAATTATTTTCAGTTTTCATCACAACTGAAGCACTTACATCAGAAGACACAGATGACCCATCAAAACAAAAAGATTTAGAAACTGATGGTGAACTATTCAAGCTATCCTTTGTCATTGCATTTGGCAAAGAAGACTGAGAAGATATTCTTGAAGAGTTCTGAGATTTTTGAACCTGAACAGTATCCAACTGAAGAGAAGTATCATCATGATTAATGCTATTTAAGATACGAGGTGACTCAATGTGTACATCCAAATTGTCACAACTCTCATTTGGTTGCGCCTCTTCACATTCCTCTTCCATCATATGGAGACTTCCACTGTTAGCTCCCTAAAGAAATAAACAGTTAATGTCATCATATATCAACATTATCAAAATGTAATGAAAAATCATATGCAAAATCTTACTTCTATTTTCAAATCATTTATATCAATCTTGTTGGATTCTTTTTCATTATAATCGAATTCTGTTTCTACAGCATAACCTTCAGAGATCAAAACTTCATGAATGTATATATCATCATCACCAGATGTATCACACAGGAAAAGAGAAAATAATTTGTTCTGAAAACACAATTACAAATGTAAATAACATTATACCATTATCATTACTAATGAATATGAATTCATATAAATATATTCCATCATAATGGTTTACTCTTTATACAACTGACTAAAAAATTCCAACATTTATTCCTTTGGTCCAAACATGTTCCCCCCTGTAAAGATTAAATATTAAGATTTTTAAATGATTTTGAATGATAATTTTTGATAAAATATTAAACTTTTACAATTTTTGAAAATTGAGAATATAAGGCCTGCACCATTTTTATAACTATTTATTGCTCTATTCAAGAAAAAGTTCAGGGCCATTTTTGAGAATTTTGAGAAAATTTCAAAAATGTTTTTGGGGTGTCATGTAAAATACCCCCAAAATTAAAATACTGTGAAACATCTTGGCAAGGCCATGTCTTTAAGAAAACCACCCCTTTTTGAGACCAGTTTTCTATGAACTAATAATTATTCCATAAGAGCAATGTTTTTTTACCCCTTTAAAGACAACCAGCCCTCTTCTGGACCAATGACCGCAGATTTTTGTCATAATGTCACATCACATTCTGTTTAAGATGACCAGAACCTAGCATTGAAATAATAAACGAGAAAGTTCCTGTACAGCTGTGAGCCTCGCCATTAGCTGTGTCTATTAAATATGCAACACCGATTGGGTGGATGATATTTAACGCTAACTCCCATGTGGATACCTTCCAGAAAATGTAATGAGAAACTATCACATTTTAAAATTAAAAGATAATTTCACAGAAGCAAAAAATTTCACCAGAATTACGATAATTAGAAGACCACCTTATAAATAAAGTCCATCAAAATAATTTAATGATGCAATTCAATAAACCTTTCATTTGAAAACAGAATAGTGTTACGATGCCTATTGTAGTTGCAGCAGAAGCAGCGATTTACAGTTTAATAGTGCAAAGCTCCTTCTAAGACCACACCGCTAAAAGATGAATTTTAAGATATTAATCGCCTGGTCAACATATAGAGATTTCACTGCATCATTTTCAAATTAAATGGATTGGGAAATATACATTGTGTTAAAAATCTGAGAATGGTTTAGAGACTATCCACAGTTATTGAGACACTAATTGTGTTGCCCACAAACAGCTAGGATATTCTTACCAAAAACAGCACAAAACTAGTTATTCTATTAATAAAAACAAAAAAAAAACGAATTACTATAGAAGTAGAAGTATATAAGAAAGTAAAAATATTTGCATGAAATTGAAATAAATTATTTGCACCATTATGCAAAGAATGCCTCAATATTATTATTATAAATTGCATAATACAATTAAATAAATATTTAAAAAATCTATTAATGCAATTTTAAAAATGCAGGTTTCAAAGCACATTGGATCTTCGTAATTTAATATTTAAAAATATAATTATAATAAATATCATTTTAAAGCAGTCTTTCCCAAGAAACAAACAGCCTCTTTGTGTATATAATACGTTCAGAATCGATGACAGATTTTGACAATTTATAAGAAGATATTTATAAGCATGCTACTGGCTAGGAAATTACTTTCCAGTCCCACATCAAACAGTTTTAGCCCCCCCAAAAATAGAAATTTGCAGATTATGACTTAAGGAACAAATTGCTGCCATGCACATTAAAAATATAAATATCTTGGAAACAATGTATCCTATGCCCCTACAAGCAGTCCCTTGGAACATTTTGGGAGACAGGATGGGTTACACAGTAAGTTTCTTATGCAGCATTCTATAAAATAAGACTGAGTTTTTCTATTAAATTTTTGAAGACTTAGTTCTGGGGACTCCTATTCTATAGCATATTTGGTGAGATTTTAGTAGTAACTCTAAATTTAAAAAGAATTACGATTAAGGAATGAGACAGAAATAATATTCCATGATAAACTTAAACTATTTGATTATCTATGAAATTTAATCTCAATTCCTTGAAATTTAATCACCACAATATTACAATGTTTCCTCACAAAGCCTGGCATGCAATGAAGTAATCCCAAGCCCAAAGACTTGATATTATTACCCAGTATGAAGCTATTTTCACTTTTAAAACAAAAAATTAAAAATTTCAGCTAATTGAATAAATGTCTAATATTCTACTTTTACTTCATGAACTACCTTTAATTCTGAGCACATTTAGAAATAATTCTACTACTTGTTGTGTAATGGAATTTCTGTCAATATAGAAAATCTAACATTCACCTCCAACACACTTTAACTCCATTAAATGCAGTGTTTCACTATCTTACTTATCATGTAATCAATGTTACCTTTCACCACCTCCTATTTCATAAAGCCAACACCAAGAGATCTTTTTCATGGATATTAACACCTTCGAACCCAAGGATGTACCTGATATCGCACCTTCGATAGAAAAGTGACACAAGTGTGAATTTCTGATTTTTCAGAAGTTGCAATTTTAAGTTTCATAGTTCTGTAATACTCGTTACAGATTGTATCAAACATTCACCTTCTATCAGACAGTAATTGAGCTAATTCAAAATCAACTTCAGAATAGTAGCAGTACCTCGTGGTAACCTCTATCAGCTTTTAGCTGAAAAATGACGATTTCGCACATGTGTCACTTTCTTATTGATCATCATCATATTACTACTATGACCAGTGGACGTATGTCATTTGTTCATCATCTTTCTCAAGCTATGTTTCAGACATTCATAGCCATCAACAATATGCTTTCTTAACGTCACTAAGAAAGTTGCAGGATAATTGTCACAATGTGCTCCTATGTGTAGTATGTATTTGCAATTTTTTTCTGGAATTAGATACTCATACCGGTCAGTGTCAATTACTTTCCTTGTAAGTAGTGTTTGTGCTCTTAGCAACAAAGAGAGATATTTAGAAGTCATAAAAAACATCTAATTCACAGCGACTCTCAACATTAGAAATTCAAATGTTTTTGAAAAAGGATTTGAACTGGATTATTGTGAAATGACAATTTTTTCCCTGGACTGTAGAGTAGTTTGAGCAATGAAAATGATAGTGAAGAGAGAGAATATGATAATGATTCTATTGATGAGTCTTCTCAAATTCACAAGTTTTTAATTCCTTTAGAATGGTGTGAAATTGTTGAACAATCTGAATTACTAGTGCTTGAGAAAACCAGTGAAATAAAATTTCCTGAAAATGAAGATTCAACTGACCTAGACTCTTTACTTTTTGACCACAGTATATTTCTGAAATTCAAGCCAGGAACAAATAGATATGAAATTTTTTTTTTTTTTTTTTTTTTTTCTTTTCTAACCTCAACAAAATATAATTAGAGTGCACCAGCATTGTTGTTGGATGAACTATACAGTTTTCCCCATATCTTCTGACAGTTTATTTCCACAAAAACAAAAAATGAAAACGCATGTTTTTTCAATTCCATTCTCACCCTCTCTTGTAATCAAATAACAATAAAATACATAAAAAACATAACAAGCAAAGACAATATTACAAGATGTTATCAGTTTCAAACTGATGGCTATGATAGTTAATTTTAACGTTTTGAATATTAGCTACATTGCCCAGGACACAGAAGTTAACCGCACAGAATATCACTCAGGTTTGAATGTGTTAAAAAATATTACATTTTATTTCACTGTCAAGCAATTTTACAAACAATACCAAGATAATCCCAAAATACTTACAGTAAAATCAGCAGAAATTACAATTCCAATTAGTGCTTTATTGGCTATCAAATGTAAGAATCTCTTTGATGCATCTGGAGTCCATTTGTCACCCACAGGAGCAATATTAGCAAGAACAGCACGAATAGCTTGTGCAGGTAAAGCTGAATGTGCAGTGTGTAAATAATGTATGTTGTTCTTTTGGACTATTCTCCTAGTTCCATAATCATAAAAACAAACCTGAAAAACAGAACAATGGAGTCAATATATACCTAGAGGAATAATTTTAGGTAACAATAAGAATACTTACTTCAACTTCAGTTGCACTAACAATACTCGTGACTCTTGCACGATGCCATTCATCTACAAACTGTGTAACACAATCTTGACCTTCCCTTATAAACTCTGAAGGCATGCGGTAACTATGACTTTTTGAGCAATAGAAGGCTCTGAAACAACAAATTAGAATTATGAAACACAAAAGACACAAAAGAAGAGAGACTAAGTTTTCAAGAGCAAGATGAAGCAGAGCTGTTGTCATTCAAATGACTCACACAGTGGAAGTCAACGACTACACATGTTGACAAATAACTAAGATCTTAATATATGTTAGAAGGGTCACCGTTTTGTCCATGGACATTCACGATATGGTATTAGTACTTATTGTCATGTTCTAGAGCCTAAAAGCTTACCAATTCGAAATATTTTTGGTACCTACTTGTCCAAGCTCAAATAACAAAAACTAGACATTTACTTAGTGACAAATTGGGAAATGGAATGAATACAATTCTCAGCAACTTTTTTAAGAATATGGAAGGTACAGCCTGTACATGTGAAAATATAACCAGCAAGATTTCTTTTTTATATCTCCACTAACTGGGAGAAGAAAATAAAGAAAACATACAAAAATTATGAAGACTAATTCACTAATATTCTGAATATACAATGCTAAGGAAATTTTGTAGATTTATAAGAAGTTAATGCTGCAAACCTGCATAAATGTGCTACTGTGGATAGAGAATTATCACCAATGGATGTATGAAGCAGATATATGTTGAGAAATCTGGAATTTTGTTATTTATTTTTTTGATTGCCATTAACAGGCGGTGGTGACCAAGATATTTGAATTAAAATATTCAAAAAGAGAAGACCAGTTTGAATAACAAAATACAATATAATTGTCTATTCATATGAAAGGATTCATTGCATTGTTTGCCCTTAAAAATATAATCATTCATTACAATATTATGATAATGAATGGGGTTTAGCAATGCTCTGACACAAAAACAACACCGAGAGCAGTAGTGGTCTCATGTCAGGTGGAAAAACGGGAGATACGGTCAAAGAGGTGCTAGGTAAACACAAAAATTTGATAAATAAAAGTCATGGGTATTGGTATTATCCTCCCCTCTCAGATTAGGCTATAAATTCCATTTCTTTTTGGGAGGCCTGTTGAGAGAGAGTCATTATTAAGCATCTCTCCTAACAATGCAGCAAGGCAATGCCTTTGGTGGGTGCCTCTTATCTTACAACAGCACATGATCCCATGCATTAGGTAATTCACATCTGGGTATTGTGTACTTGTAGGATCAACATTTATTATGCTTCATGAACACAGAAGGTATGTTAGAACGCATACCATGTTGGCAAACACATACATGAAAATGTCACGGCATGGTGTAATAAAAGTCCTGTGATAGATCATTCCATGTGGATTGTACCTGAACATGCAGTTCTAGCAGATTGGCAGATACAGATGGAATGTTGATTGCACACTCCATAGCACTCCCAAACATTCTCAACGAAGGAGATGTCTGGCATTAGTTATGTAGAAAAAGGGCATCGAAGGGAAAGTTCACGTACGAGAGACCCACCTGGTGCTAGTCCTCCCAAATGTGACACGCAGATGTCATATTGCCAGAGAGAGGAATACTATTGGTGAAGCACAATGACAGGTCGCTGATCGTCGACAAATGCTACATTAGCTACTCAAGGAAACATCAATTCATTCCTTACATCTGAACAATCAATGGACAATCACTGCAAGCTGTGGACAACATTGTCAACCTCTGGTCACGTTTGACTCTCGCTTGGACTTTAATTTACACACTGATCAATCTTGTAGTAAGGCTAAAGATGTTTGGTTTCCTGATTCGCACTACATCCAACTTTCATCGAATAGAAACTCTCTGCTATTGTTCACAATGGTAAGATTCATTCTGGAATAAGCCTCAATAGTGTGGGGTGATGTGTGACATTCAAACTTTGAATCAAAATTAACAGACAGGAGCTTATTCTATGATTATTATGAATATTACTTCATATTAGTTAATACTTTAATACATTTTCTAATAATTCTTCGAAGATTTATTGGAGTTTTACACTTTCCCATACCAAAACTCTTGTTGCCAGGCCCCGGTAATAAAAAAATGGATAAATCGTGCCCCTATAGATAATAAATTATTTCCTCTAACTGGTTTTATTGATGCAATCTGTGTTCAAGGAAGCAGGCATTCAAATCAGAGTGGCAGTCAAACAGTTCCTACATCTGCATACAAGTATTGCAGATGACATATTCTCCCTGGCCAAGGGACTTGGAGGACAGGGATTGCTCTGGCTTGCCCCACACGTTCCTAGGGTAGCACTGAACCTAGGTTTACAATTTAAAAAATCTACATCTACATACATTCTTCATCTGTATTTGAGCACTGCAGATGGCATATAACTGGTATTACTGAGGCTCGCCCAACACATTTTAATCAGGGATTTTTTTATCTTTAACCAGCCAGATCGATCAGGGACTATGAATTTTGGATACATTCGTCTATACTAGGATTTATTTAGCCATGCACTTGACATAAATCAGTTTTATCCAATCGGGAGCTCGAACGTCCCCAGTGATGTCACTGTAGCTATATATAAGCTCCCGATTGGATGAAACCGCAACAGCTGATTTACGTCAAGTGCACGACTAAATAAATCGTACTATACACCACGAGTTAGAGGATATCTTTTCTAAATTTAGCAACTAGATTTATCCACTTTTGCGATAACAAGGCCCTGTATTAAGAGTTTTTCTTCCGAAAATTCGCTTTTTTTTGCACAGCATTACATCATTTTCTTATCTTAAGACGTTCCATCTTAAGCGCGATGAAGTAAAAATTGCCAATACAGAAAAATTCTGAGGGTTCAAATTAAAGTGAAATTACCTTCATGGATTCAGATATGGAGTTAGGTGATGATTTTGATGGAGTGAGTGTATAAACCGAAAAAGATCTCAGAGACGGTGATATATTGACAGAATTTACCGGAGGGACAAGAAATACAACGAAATTTACTGAACTTTGTGTTGTGCAGGAAAAATTAGAAAGAAATGTGATTAGTCATGGGATTGGTATTCGTAGCTGATGATAAAGATGTATATGAAATAACATTCAGTCAAGTTGTAGGGCTCGTGCCAACTCCAGATATATCCATCAGTTATGTATTCAGTAAAGGACTAAATGTAAAAGAAAAATCACTAAGGTATAAACAACTTGTTCTATCTGAGTAGATCTCAAGTTCGGTATGTGTTCTGTTCTGCAGAATTAGTTAACAAGCAAAATAATGTATGTTTACAAAGTATTATGTTAATATTTGTATATAAATTCTATCGTCTACATAAATAACTTTTTGAGTAATATTAATAATAAAAATAAATTTACTATATCTAATTTGGATGTTGTTTTTTTCTTCACGACATCTTCAGGTTCCTCACTGACGGCTTTAGGAACCAATAGTAATTAACATTTCAGGTTTAAATGACTTAGCACAAGATTACTCAAACGCGAGCAAAATCGCGACAATTTAAAAATGTTCGTTAGAACTATTTTTTATTGTAAAAATTTTAAAGAAAGTATACAAAACTATTTTATCACAATGTGTACGATCGTAAAGAATAGATTCATTCTTTATATCTCCCACTTGCATGAACGAGACTCCAATCTAGATCTGAAACGATCGTCGGCACGGTGCAAGGCATCTCGGCGAATGCTGCTTCAATAGCGGCTCAGAGAGATATGCGCTTTACCCTTGCCGGTCGCAACGGACGTCGCATTATTATTAGCTAGTTTTATTGTCTCAGAATCTGAACCAATCTCGCCAAAATGCTTGATGTCATTGCAGAATTGACTCGTTGCTCCGCTGTCCAAGCACCACTTACGATGTAGATCTGACCTCTTCAGAGATGACACGTAAAAACCTAAATTTTCCGCCATTTGCAGCGTCAGCCTTTTTAACAGCGTCGCCTTTCTCGCTGGTCCTTTTGATTGAAATGTTCCTTCTAGCTTTAGCCACATGTCGCGGGAAGTAGTGCAGTTCTTCATCAGCTTCAGTCCGCTCGGTGAAATCGACAGGATGTCAGACCTCGCGTTCAAATCGTCGCCGTCAAATCCCGCAAGTCAAGGGGTCCAATAATAGGACTGATGGGGAAAAAATATTAAAAAATCCAAAAAGCAATTAGAACTCGACAAAGTCGCTATCGTAACTTTATAAGTCGCAGTAGAGTAGTCTGACATTTCATAAAATTTACAATCAAATTCTTACCTCAAATAGTTCATTATAGTCATTACTTGTAAAGTAGGACTATAAAATGAATCAAATGACGCTAAAATAAAAATAGGTTCTACTGAAATTCATCTTTATTATTTCATTAACTAACAAGTTTTTTATTAAGATTTTTATTAAACACTAAGTAAACACAACAATGTTTAGTGCTTTAAAGTTCACTGTGGAAATTGTATTATTTGATCATTACCTGCAACTATTATTAAAAAAAAATTTCCCAAAACTTTTTCTACCTTAAACGTAATTTTTTTGGGTTGTTGAAATAAATAAAACAACTCGAATTATTTCTTGATACACCATTTGTAATTATTTTCGAGGGAAGCGGGGCTATGTTACACCATGGTCCGGGACCCAAAATTTGTCTAGCATCGGATTCTTGAACATTGGCGGCGTTCGCGTTATCTTCATATCTTCACCAGGTTAAGGTTTCAATACGCCACCACTCACATAGTTCTACAAATGATTGTTTGAGAATTGCTTGCATCTGCAATTTCCGCATATCATAATTGTCTTTCCCCAACATTTTGTTACGCGTCGTGCTGCCGGCATGCATGATTGTAGTTCACCTTCTAGAACTTACGTTTTCGTTCTTGCTCACAAAGAAAGTCGCTAGTTTCTGTTTGAGTTTCGCGAATCTGGGCCCCTACCTCATTAAAGAGGCACGAAACACACGAGCAGAACACAACACACAACTCAAAGACAAACATAATACATTAACGGTGATTAAACAAGCGTGTGTAAATAACAGCGCCATACTGATGCACACTGGATACGCAAGGCACAACACTACAAACATTAGAGCTTCCGATACTCGCACACAATATCTAACAGGGCACTTCGAAGTTTGAGTGGCAGAGTAGTTCAAACTCTCCCCCGAACCTTACCAAAGAACTCAAAGGAATGTCACTAATGGCAATTTCTTCACGATCAAGACCTTCCTAGAACATCTGAAAAATGGTCTCACCCTTGTTGGAACTATTCAAAAGGGCAAGAGATTCATTCCCGAAGAATTCCAGTCCCACAAAAGTCAAGGGCATCATCTTTGGTATTGTATGTTTTGAAGCTAAACAAAGCAGTCGTTCTTTCAACAATGCACCACATAAGATTCTTGAACAGAAGTCTAAGGTAATAAACCGGAAATAATACTTCATTACAATTCCACGATAAGTGGAGTTATTGCACTGGATCAGCTAGTGCTCTTATACTCATATCAAAGAAAAACAAGCAGATGGCCATTCACGTTCTTTATTGACTGTCTTATGGACGTTGCTGGAGTGGCAGTATATTGTATCTGTTCAAATGTGCAGCCAACATGGAATGCTCGGTACCATCGTGTTTGAAATTCATTCTTGTGGGAGATATCAAAGGGATTCATTCAACCACACACTGAAATACCATGGGACTCCAGCAAAAGGCACTTTTAGCTCTAAAAGAAGTTGGGCAAAAACTAAATTCTACTGCATCTTCCCAGATAAGTAGTTCTACACCGTGCTCATCAGGGAGGGAAAAAGGGATGCCACTTGCTTATCTTCGCGCGAGGTTGCACTCAGAAATATTGCAGCAAATGTCACCAGTCAGCAATAAGCACAGTGATGTAAATCGTTTTTGAAAACAGTGTGAATAAAAGACTAATTTAATCGAAATATGTGAATTCATAGAGAAGAGAAGTTTAAACTTGCTGAATGTGTATAAAAAATGCTTTACTCCAACATATCTTCTTGTGAGTTTTTGCGAAAATGAAGCAATTATTTTGTCCCTAAATTATCCCATCATCATGCCCTAAAAAAATGAAAACAATGTGCGCAAAAGTTGAAGAGAAAAGCGGAAAACAAGAGATTGAACAGCAGTGTGTGATGGAAATTGCTTGCCCAGATATGTGACAAAAGTACCTAGCCCACAGAAGGTTCAAAAAATTGAACTAATACCAAAATTACTTTACAGAGCATTTAAATTACAACACCACCAATGGTCCAAAGGTCACCTGATACCAACTACGGATGTAATGAACAGATGGAACTTTGGTCATTCCCTGTCCGGTTCCAGTAAAAACTATTTTCACAGAGATCAATGATTCAAGAATTGTAACATTTTGGATGGAATCAATCAGTTAATCTAAATTGTACTTACTGCAAATCATCCATCAGAGAATCCAGAGCTCGGGAATACTGCTCACCACAAAAAGTTACCCAAAAGTGATGAGGATTGTTCACTTCTTGAACAAGAACTTCTATCAGAGATCCCTTCGTTACCCAAGAAGGAATTTCAACTTGCTGAACATGCAAATCTGGACCAACAACATCCCTAGGAAATTGTTCTTTGATATTTTTTAAATCATGCTATAAACATTTAGAGAAATATCACAAAACTGTTAATGTAGAGTTAAAAAATCTTTCATTGTTAAGTTATTAAAATTTAAAATGCATTACACCTACCTCATTCTCAATTATTTCTTTAAATGGGAGGGGTTTGTCAAAAACTATTAAATTTGCAGAATTATTAGAAGGAAACAACCAAGTATCCGAACCACTCACTTCAATTTTTATAACATTTAATTTTTCCAAACATTGAAAAAATTCTTGAAAAGAAGATAGACCCATTTGCTTCAAGTCTACGCCTTGCAAATAGGTATCCTGTAAAACAAATTTATTATAATGTTCTCAAATATAATTAAAATGTATAGTCACCAAGTACGTTGAACACAAATACTACATTCATAACTACTAAAAAACTAGTGGCATGCAGCAGCAAAAACTCTACTCAATAAAATCACAAAATTTTTCCAAAATGTAGCACACTCACTGCTCTACAACAAATAAATTATGACTGGAATCATTTATTTCATAATTGATATTAATGTACTGATCACCCTTGAGTTTTGAACATATTTGCTTATGTACAGAACACATCCATGAAGAGACCACAGAAACAATCTTCGACCCAATAATTTAAAATAAAACAAAAGAAAAGAAAAAGAAACTAAAGAAAGAAAAAATAAATTTAAGTTATTTCATTTCAAAGCAGCTGCATTGAAAAAAATTATTATATTTTAAAAAAGTATTTACTTTTGCCAAAAAACAAAAAAAGAATGTGAAATTGGAGAGCATTGGTCCAAATTTGATTGGCCCTTTTGGGTTACACCTGAGCTCGACACTTCCATCACATTGCAAAACAAGGCTGCTCATACCATGATGAAAATCTCTATCCAATAATGTTTTGTCAGAAGTTTGCATGTGTCGGCCTCACCAGCTGAACCATTAAAACATGTGAAAAGTGAGTGTTAGAGTACCTAGTTTTAAAATTGAGTAGGTAAATTCTTTAAACGGTATGGAAACCAAGCAGATCCAGGGAAGTTTGATGTTGACAAAACAAGTGCGAGATAGTGGATAAGGGACAAAAATGCATACTGTAGCATGACCACATTTCAAGGTTAGAAATGCAAGTACAGTGAAATCTCAGTACAACAAACTTTAGTATTACGTATGTATTTGAAACTCCCATTTAAACATCCTATTTCACAATGTAAAAGGTACTTCACTTTTTTGAACTCTCTACTTGGACCTATTTCAGTATTACATAGTAAAAAATATATGGATTTATTTCTTTTCATATTTTTTATTCCTATTGAATGTTGTGGTCTTAAATTTTTCTGGAATATGCATTTTGGAATATTTGCTTTAAGGTCATGCTCAGTGTATGCAACATGCATACAATGAATCCTGAAGACTTAATTCACCATAATATGCACAGATACAAGCAGTAATCATTATTTCTAGATCACGCAATGGGAAATTCTGTCTTTTTCAATTTTGAATATCATGATCTTCCGGAAATTCATTTCATATCTTATTAATTGTAGCCAACCCTCTGATTCCAAATACAGATGTTGTAGTGATTACAGTTTTCCAAGTGCGTTTTGTGGAAGTTAATAGTTAATGTGAAAAGGTCTGTAGACGCGTGGTTTAAGGAAGTTAGGTCTAGTCGAGTACCTGTTTCTGGATCAATGAAACAAGAAAAAGCAGTTTGAAACACTAATGGATGTTAAGGATTTTCAGGCAATTACACGGTTTCGTTTTCACGAGCAAAGTGGCAGAACTTCGAAGACTGCTATTGGAATGGCTAAAGATGCTGACATGAACGTTGCTTGAGAGTATATCGAAGAATATCATCTGAAAAATGTAACAAGTATGATCCTAAAGATATTTTCAATGCACATGAAACAGCATTTTATTTTATCATATGTTCCGAATAAAATGATGTCTTACAAGAGAGAGATGTGTAAAGGTGGAAAATAGCCAAAAGAAGGATTAACTGCACTATTATGTTGTAACGCCACTAGAAATGAAAAATTGAAGCCTATGGCTGTAGGACATTGCATAAAGCCTAGATGTTTCAAAGGCATGGCATCTCTGCCAGTAGAACCAACAAGAAAGCATGAATGACCAAAGAACTTTTTGGAGACTGGCTTCCCTTGGGCAAAGATATTGGAAAACAGAAAAGAAAAATCCTGTTGTTGATATTTAATTGCTCTGTTCATAAACGGATAGTTGGAAAATATCAACATTGAATTACAATCTCATTACATCCCTCCCAAATACACTTCTGTACTGCAGTCACTAGAACACAATTATTTGTAATGCAAAGGTCTACTTTCGAAAACAATTGGTTCAGTGGATTCTAATCAACTTTAGATTGCAAGTTTCAACCAAATTCCACATCCTACAAGGGTTACAAATGTTAACAGGGGTTGGTGGAATGTGAAAGCAAAAGCAATTTTCAATTGTCGAAGAAAGTCATTAATATTGAATTTCGAAGACAGTGCTTCGCTAGAGGTTGAGGCTTGTGAACATCATTGTGAGGTGGAGGAAAAATTGCAAAAAGGGTTAGAAATTAATCATCTATAACGTTTGCTGCTTATGTCAATATGCTGGGACTAAAATATGTTACTGCCTCACATAGACATTGTTGAATCTTTGATTACATCACAAGAAAATAATGAAGAGAAGGAAAAAGTAAAACAAAAATAAAAGATTGAAAGAGTATCTTCAACGGAGGCAGAGAAGTAAAAAGTATGTGTTCAGAAAAATATAAATGTTCCTGAGATAGTTCTCAATTCATTATTTGAGGAAGAACAGTTTGTGAAAAGTAACTTGCTCAAAAAGACAAAACATTTTGACGGATAAAATGTATTTTTTCATAATGTTTTTTTATTGGGCAAACTATTTAAAATAAATTAGTTAAAATTGTATTTTCAATATCAAGTATAAATAAAATTATTTTATGATGTACTATAAACTGAGATTGCACTGTATCCTGAAATAGAGAAAGAGCTGTTATAGAAACCGGGATTTTGCAATATCCTGAGAGATGCAGAAATTCAAGGGCAGCAAAACCACCAAGAAACACAGCATCACTTGCAGTGAGATTAAAGCGAGTGATGGATGGGTGTGGGAGTTTACAACTAGATGAGGCATATCTCTACAGGGTCACTACACAGAGACTGATGTGAGCGTATGAAGAGAACCTTGTAACACATCAGAAATAAGCAATCAACATGAGCAAGTTACAGAGTTACATTCATGGACAGATTGATAATCACTGATATGTCAGATATCACTGAATTTCAACACCAGATGCCAGATGCTATGACTGCATCCTTTGGGAGAGAAGAACTTCTCCATTAAAACACAAGAAGCATAAAAACAATGTTGCAGTTATATCGACAATATAACAGAAGATGGGTGCAAGTTGCTGCAATATGTTGTTTTTCAAAGAAAACCAATGCGAAACAAGAAGCTTCTCTCTGCAATAGTTGCAAACGGCAATAAAAATATGGATGATGGAAAACTTGTCCTGATCTGAATGCAGTAAGTGTGGTTGCAGCGGCCTGGTACATTTTTGGAACAATCGCCATGCTTGTTTTGGACAGCTTCCAGGTTTACACTAAAAACTCTTATCATACAATGGTAACCTAGTAGTCCTATCAGGAGACATGACTGGCATGGTTCTTGGACTTTACAATAAACCGGCGGTTTAAAGTACACATGTGATGTACCTATGCAGATAGGCGACAGAAAAGAGAACCCCCACGTTGACAGGTCACCTCAAGAAGGTCATGCTGACCAACATGAATCTTCTTGCCCCAATCTTACCAATTTTTGGAACAGCATTTACAGACCTTAGGTTCTCACGTGTCTGTGATGTTACAACTCAAAAGAACCGTAAACATTTATTTTTTGGCCAAAAATTTAAAATCATCTTGTTAAGGTTCATTTCCTCTATATGCAACAGTAGAGGAAGGAAATAGAAAAGATGAGAAAGGCCTTCAAATATCATGAAAGAGATTCTTTCACACTGACATACAAAATCCTATTGAAGAAATTGCCAGGCCATATTGGAAACCCAACTATGCAAAATTGAGAAGGTATAGTGAAAGAAACTAAACCAGCTCTAATCAACAAGAATATTGCCCCATGGAGACTGCTATCTAGATGGTCTTTAATACCTAGCCCCCAAACAGATCAAATTAAAAAATTGACATTTTGCAAAAAGAATACAAGACCTACAACACTGAAGAGGATTTCCTCTGATGCATATCTTTTCAAACGTGAAACTCATTTAACCACACAGCTTGGCTAGAGCTCAATTCATACTTGTCAGAAATGCGTATAGGACCACTCGTAAGGGTCACAGACACTGTTTTTCAAAGATGATTCCATAGAGCCGAAATATTTACATGTAAATTCTTACACTCTTTCTTCTGTGATTTAAGTTTTAAAGTTTACCTTCATTGTCTGGAAAGAAAGTTATTCAACATACAGAAAGAACTGTTAAAGAAGCTTCTATAAATGAGGGTATAATGAAACACAATATTGAAGATTTTATGATTTCACTACAAGATTCCACTGATCGTGATGGAGGCAATAAAGATAGTTCTGTAGAAAATGGTGATTGTGGTAAGTGAAATAAGTGGGATATTTAGAATGAATAATTGGATTGTATGTACCTCATCACCTAAGAAAAATATGGAAAATTACATTGAAAACATCAACTGTAAGTACCCACTTTTATGTAAAAATTTATTGGTATATTGTTGCTTGGATTCACATCAAACCAGGTTAGCTGTGTATGCGCCAGTGATTATGTGTTGTGCCTGCAGAGGCAGATTAGTGAATGTGCATACAAATGAATGTGAACACAAGCAAATTTGTATGCAAGCGAAACTGTTTTAAAAATATTTTATTTCCCTTAAAATCATAAATTAATTACTTACATGCACACAATCATATTATTAAAGTAATACTACTGATACCATGGAAAATAAAACGGTAACAACAGTTCATTTTTTTTTCAAGCCCAAAAAAAAGAATTACCTTATATGTTTGCTCAAAATCTTTACTATTTAGTCCATTTGGGTACCCTTGCATAAGCCATTGCATATTCCTTTTGGTAATCTCTGGAACGTGTATCATCACCTTTGGCTTTGAATCTGGAATGTACGAGAATGATATGTATCACTTGCAAACAAATAACCAAGTTAAATATTATCACATTTAATCTTGAATTACCTTCTCCTTTTGAAGTTCTTTCCAGAGGGTAGCCATAAGGAAATAATTTAAAGGCTCCATTTTCCAATGGAACATAGCTAAATATGTGAGGCATTTTAAATGCTAATTCTTGTGTATTCTCGCAGCCTAAAATCTGAAAGTTTAACGGAGCTGCAAACTTCATCTGCAAAACAAAAACAAAATCAATACCTCAATCTGGCTTTGCTCCCAGGTTGTACTAAACCTTTCTCAAGAAAATGTCTCAAGAAATTGATCTGATTTTTTCTGCAACCTTTCCCTTCCAAATACGAGGCCTGTCTAAAAAGTTACCGACCTTAATTTTTCCCATGCAAAGTAGTGATTCTAAGGCGGTGCCACTGTGCACGGTGGAAGGAGGAATCTTAATGCGCATGCTTGAATTTTTTCACTGTGTTTGCTTGTGCCATTCGCTGGCTGGTGATCGCTAAGTAAGGAGCTGTTCCTAGTGTTCGTCGGATTTAGTTTTCTCGCAAGATGACTGAACGAATAGAGCAAAGATACTGCATCAAATTTTGTCAAAAGCTTAGTAATTCTCAAAATCAAACAATTCCTTAAATTCAGCAGGTGTTTGGAGAAGATGCGATGGGTGTAACACAAATTAAGCAGTGGTTTAACCAATTCAAAGATGGCCGCACATCAGCCAAGAGTGAGCAGCGTGGCGGCAGGCCCCAAACTGCTCGGAATGCAGCTGTTGTAGAGAGGGTGTGAAATTTGGTGATGGCAGATCGCAGTTTGGCAGTGCGGAAGATTGCAGAAGAGGTTGGAGCGAGTAAAGATTCTGCACATGCAATTTTGCGTAAAGATTTGAACATGAAACGAGTGGCTGCTAAATTTATACCAAGTTGTGGTCTCCGGAACAAAAAGGACACTACCTTCTGGCCACCGCCAACAATGATCCTGGGTTTCTGAACACCGTGATAACTGGAGATGAGTCATGGGTGTACGGGTACGACCCAGAAACAAAAAGACAGTCGTCTGAATGGAAGCATCCCGATTCTCCAAGGCCGAAGAAAGCGTGGCAGGTGCGAAGCAAAATCAAGGTGATGCTGACTGTTTTCTTCGATGTCTGCTGAATCGTGCATCACGAATATGCACCGGAAGGACAAACAGTGACAAAGGAGTACTATCAAGATGTTCTCCGCACACTCTGTGACGCAGTGCAAAAGACCAGACATGTGGTGACCAGACAGTGACAAAAGACCCTGTGCGCTCTCGGCGCAAAAGACCAGACATGTGGACGGCGAAGAACTGGCACTTGCATCATGACAACGCCCTTTCACATTCATCTCAATTGATTCACACTTTCTTAGCTAAACATGGAATTACAACCGTTCGCCGACCTCCCTACTCTCCAGACCTGGTTCCTTGTGATTTCTGGTCGTTTCTAAAATTGAAGAAGCCACTGAAATGATTCCATTTTGAGAGTAGAGAAGAATAAATGCGGAACGCAACGACGGAGCTTAACACCATTCCAATAAAAGACTTCCAGGTGTTTCCAGCTGTGGAGGGATCGATGGGCTAAGTGTGTGGAAGCACAAGGGGCCTACTTTGAAGGGGATTAGGGTCCCAAATCTGTCAGGTATTCAAAATATTTTTCTGACCAAAGGTCGGATACTTAGACAGACCTCGTATAAGTTTTGAACTAGGACCCAAAAATACTCTCTCCATCGGCCATAGTTAATATAAATGTTATAATTATACACATAGGGTGTACATATGATATTCAATATCATCCCAATGGATTCAAGATAATATTTAAATACTACAAATCAAAATATTTACATTTTTTACATTTTACATTTGTCATTTTGTAAAAAATTATTATAAAATGTGCTTTACAATTTATGATCAGCCCTAGAACTCAACTAATTGTAATATAATTTTGCAACATGATATAAAATCAAACTTCTTACATTGGTGTTTTTGTTATCCTAGGACCAAAACTGCCTTGTGTTAGCACATAGAAGATGAAAATAAGGAATTAATAATTTTAAAACTATTAGAAAATTTGGGGGAAAACAAATCATGTCTGAAACGGAGATTGTTATCTCAATTCTGAACACCTTCACCAAAAAGAACACAAAACTCTAGCAAGAACTCGTAATTATTTTCCCTTTGTACTGCGCTTACACCTGCTTGATGTCAGACAGTATTAGGACTCTTCTATATAAGCTTTTTCGAGCGTGAATTTAGCTTTTAAAAATCTGCAGTTATTGTTTTAAAGCAAATTTAAAAACAAAGGCTGTACAAACAAAATCTCTACAATAGTTGTAGCATAATAGCAGTACTTTTTAACACTCAAGATTTAATTTTTTTTTAATCGGCTTTTAAACCTTGTTTTATAGTTTACTATCATTAGTGCTACACTTACTGTATTCATTTATATCAATATTAACCCTTTACAACTCGATAATGAAATTTCCATTCTGACATCAAGTCTTATTCAGTAAATATTTAGCCTTAGACCAAGGGCCATGGCAATTATGACATTGTGCATATGAGTGTGGAGAACATAATTAGTACACAACTGCCCAATTCTCTGTTGTGTAATTTAAATTAAGACAATCCATTGGTTAATGTTATGTTGATATAAACTAAATGGATGCCTTTCCTATCTAGGCACAATAGTTGCAACTACAGGTCAAATAGGAAATCCTAGCTTAATTCCCTGTTCTACTCCAGGAACTACTCCCTGAGGAAGGTCGCAGAATAGCGACCGAAACGTCGGCACCTTCGCCATTGATGCGGCGTCACCCGGACAGCCTAGTAAATTCTGTGCAATTGTTTATTTCAATGTCTGCATTTAGGAAATGATTATTAAACAGTTCACAAATTACAGTGAAATTATTTCAGCATGGCCACTGAAGGTCGAGGTCTCAGTGCTCCTATTCACAATTCTCGTCACCAACAACTTTTTGAAACCATTTAGCATATTATCTGCCGCAGTGCAGGTTATGGATTGTTGGATTCCGGTTTTGTTGATCCCTGCAGTCACTTCTGCAAATTTTACTCCCAGTTTTACATTTCCTATTACTCCAACATTCTGAAGTCTATTAGTTAGTTTCACTGCAAAATTCTTTTGCATGACTATCACCATTCATTTCGACTTTCACTGTTTGTCTTTACATACTTTTTTTGCACTAATGAGATTTGAGCTCTAATTTGTTTTGTTCCATCTTAATGCTGGTATCCTTCTCCCCATAAAGTCCCATTGTTTTCACGTAACACATCAAAACAGTTGGACACTGGTCAGTCTTCTCCATTGCACGTTGTTTGGTATCACAATTCTTCCATTGGTGAAATTCCTGCCCACTGTGTTCCCATTACTCAGGTTCCCAGGTGTTTGATGGTTACCACGTGGTCCAGAGTGATGACACCTATTTTCTTTCCTTATGGCTTCTAGGTCTCATCTCAGAGTTAAAATAATTTGTTGTAGACTTGCTACAGTCTCACTTAATTTATTGATAACTTTACTATTATCAATACAATTACTATACTGGCAAAAATTGTATTTTACTATGGATACAAATGTACAAGATTCTACACACAATGCCATCTTTGATGTGACATCTCCATAGTGAACACTCGGTTATAGTGAACTCAAGTCACTGGTCTCATTTCACTTATATTAAGCATTACAATGAGCATAAAAAGATCCAGTTAGAGTGAACCTGAACCTCAGTTACAGTGAACATCGGCAATACGAAATACAACCTGGAAATTAATTCCCTCCTGGAAAGAATATTTCTTCGTGCTGCAAATTCCAACAATAGCAACCTTGAAAACAAAAATTGGGCCAAACGTCATAATCAAAGAATTCTCCCCTGAGGTGAAGGTTGCAGACTCCGAATGGGCACCTTACAAATGACCTAATGCCATTTAGTTTAATTCGTAGAACAAAGGCCATGTCCTGTGCGGGCTTCAACAGACTGCAGCAACGACACGATATTGCTTGCTTACGTTTCAATCTTGGTGTTAGTTGATATTCCATGGGACAAAGTGCATTGTGTTCTACATAAGCAAGAGGAAGTGCCTGGCTGCCACAGCCCCTCGATAACCCCGATGTTACTTGGAAAACCAATCAGGTTCATTAGCTGCTTGGACCATCCAGCTGCCGCAAGGATCTTGTATGTTATTAGGCGAGTAAAAGGACATTTGAAGAGTGGAACTTCCAAAAGTGCAACGGGCATTGAAGGGTGTCAAGACTGCATTACAACAATTAGACACAGTGGACAATGCAAGAAAATTACTAATTAAAAATGCACAAAGTAAGCAATTGAAAATATTTGATTTTATAAGGACAAATAAAGACATTGAAATTTTCAGTTCATGCTGTTAATATATTTTGCTTTATCTCTAAATTAATAAAATAAATTATTGTGGAGAAATTCTATTTAATATTGACATCATTAGATACAGTGAATCAAAAGTGTTAGTCCCCAGAAGTTCATTATAATTGGAGTCAACTGTAATTGTGTCATTTCAATTGGTTAATCAGTTTATTAGACTTGACTCGTCAGAAGTGTGTCATTGTGAAAAAAAATGTTTACCTTGTTTCTTAACCAAACGTCTCTTCTTTTGCATGTCAAAAATAAGAAAACTTCATCCTGATGTGGCACACCAGTGGGTTTTAAATAAAGAGCTCACCAGAAAGGAGACCAGGAAAAATTGGAAGCACGAAGTGTTAAAACATTACATTGTTTTGCAATTACCTTGTACTTCTCCCTCAGTTCTGATCCAAGAATCCCATGTACATTATCTTTCATTAAAGAATGTAGATTTCTTTCAAGTCTGTGAGCTTTTTCATTAATCCCTTGAGGAACAAATGGACTGGCATGGGCTGCAACAGAATGTAGGAATACGTAAGTATTTTATTAACAAATACCTTACAGAAAAATACTAATGTCTAAAACACTAATACAAATGTCTAAACCAGAACCTGCACAAGCCGGAAATCTGCCTTCACTAGAAAATTTCTCTGCTCTGTGAAGTTATGTGGCATTTGACAGCTTAAAACAGAATAACGCGGAAACAGGTTTTCATGTCTTACACGGGGAGAAAAACCTAAAATGGAATTCCTTGCAATTGGTGGAGAGACTCTTCAGAATTTAATGCAACTGGCAGAGAGACGCGAGATTTTCAATCAAATGAATGCATTTGCAAGTCTGTTTTAAATTCGTTATCCCTGTGTCATGCAATTCAGTAGTTGTGGCTGCACTGTGAAGGAAAAAAGGTTCAGCTGTCAGTGTAGAGAATTCGACCTGGGATCGCTGATCTCTAAAGACATAGGCTGTAGGGGATTTGCCTCCCAGCTCACCGAGTGTGGTAAGGTATAGTAGCTTGGCTTGTATTCGCAAGTCTCCCTGCCACACGTTGAAAATTGTATTCCCTCAGCAAGAGCCACATTGCTCAAGGCCATGAAAGGGAATCAGAAATTCAGTCCAACTGAGAAACTGCTGCGTGCTGTGAAACAAACTCCAACGCATGGCTGTGAAACTAACTCCAACGCATGGCTGTGAAACTAACTCCAACGCATGGCTGTGAAACTAACTCCAATGCATGGCTGTGAAACATTCTGCATTGAAAGAGTCAGCAAGAAGCCATTCAATGTGCAAAGTGCATTGTGTTCTTCATAGACAACATTGCATAAAACTGCCCCCTCCCTAAATTGGAATGTTTGTCCCAATCAATTCCAGCTTGAAAAGATTTTACAGAGAGAGAAGAGAGATGAGATACAGAGAAGATGAGAGAGAGGAGATAGAGAGATGTAGATGAGAGAGAGAGGAGATAGAGAGATGGAGATGAGAGAGAGAGGAGATAGAGAGATGGAGATGAGAGAGAGGAGATAAGAGAGATGGAGATGAGAGAGAGAGAGAGAGAGAGAGGAGATAGAGATGAGAGAGAGAGGAGATAGAGATGAGAGAGAGAGAGGAGATAGAGATGAGAGAGAGGAGATAGAGAGAGATGAGAGAGAGAGAGGAGATAGAGAGAGATGAGAGAGAGAGGAGATAGAGAGAGGAGATAGAGAGAGGAGAGAGATGAGAGAGAGAGGAGATGAGAGACAGAGAGAGAGGAGATGAGAGACACAGAGAGAGGAGATGAGAGACACAGAGAGAGGAGATGAGAGAGATAAGTGTGAAGAGAGATGAGAGAGAAGAGAAAGAGATGAGAGAGAGAGAAGAGGGTAGAAAGAAAGGAGAGAGTGTGTTTATGTCTCTCTCTCTCTCTGCCCCTGCATAGCAGGGCATCAAACAACAGAAAATTTGGACTCACAATTTGAATATCAACTAGACGATAATATTATAATTCATAAATTTATAGTCTATTTAAACACTCAAATTTTATATTGTAGTGTTCAAATACATTTTAAAAAATTATACATCAAAGTTGGCATTACTACAATTCGGGTTCAAATTTTATAAGTGTTTTTGTTCGTATTCCAACAAATTACATAACACACAGGGCCCATTAGAGAAAACAAGAGTACAGACTTGGATTCTATTTCCCTCAATAACTAAACAGGCATTTTGTCTAATTAAATCAGAAGTTGTTTGTTGTTTGTTTGTTTGTTTGTTTTATTTTTTTTTTTTTTTTTTGCTTCTTCTTTTTCTTCTTCTTCAAAATCACAAAAAAACTGATGTAGTACTGAAATCTCAACACAGACTTGGATTCAGATCACATTATCACTATTTATCAACAATCTACAATATTTTCCCTTTTACCACAAAACATATTGAAATCATTCCAGAGGTCAAATTCACACAATTTCCTTAGGTCTAATGTGACATTCTTAAGCTTGAGCGTCAAAACACATTCTCAGCTTCTTGTTCCAATTCCAAATAAACACGAAGTTTACATTTTATTTAAAACACATTGTATTACGATCGTTAAGTTTCATTAACATAAATTATACAAATTCTTAGGCAAGAGAACTTTCTTTGCAAACCTTGCATTCCAAATGTTTCAGAATTTATCAATGTACCTGTTAATTCTCCTTTCTCACTGTTTTTGGAACTCTTAACCTCCAGAGGCTCCTTTATTTCCACTATTGGACTTTCTGAAACATTTACAAGAATTGATATTCAAAAATATTAGTATAAATATTACATAATAAAATAGTGTAATTGCCCTTAAAACACACCATAACATTTTTTAAATAATTTATTATTTACAATTAGGCCCATTATTATTATTATTATTAAGTTTTAACATTGTGGAACAATATTGGAAGTCTAGAACTAAAAAATGTACAGTAAAATTTGCTCCATGCGGAACCTCACAGGACTAAATATTCTGGTCGTATTACACTAGATTCCACTTTATGCAATGCAATACTGAAGAATTTGTGATTGGCAGGACTGTGAATTAAGTTCACATTAGACCGATTTCCACAATATACACATTCCACATTGACCAAGTTTTACTGTATTGTGTGTTGAAACCACAACCTTGCACACAGTTTACACTAAATGTAACATAATTGAAAAAATATCACTATTTTAAAACTTTTATTGTGATCATAAAAAGGTTTCCATAATTAGAAAATATTCAGAAAGTGTCTGAATTTTTTAAATAAAAGTATCAGTCTTATATTTAAGCAATCATTCAAAAAGGAAATTTTTGTAAATTGAATTTTAAACAATTTTAGTGTTTTTTAACTTAAAATGCAGGGGATACAGCATAACCCACCCCAAATTATTTTCCTTATTATTTGTTTAGGTTTCACTTGGTAAAACAACACTAAGTATTGACAGAGGTCTTGAGGACTTAATTCATGTTGTACAGTGCAAGGATGCTTGGGCTGCCAGTAAAGAGTGCCAGACATTTTCCAATTTCAAGGATTTTGAGTAGTTTTGAAAACCCATATCTTTCTGAGCACAATTCATAAAAGAGGTTTGACAACGCAGGAAGAACCTAAACTAGAAGTGGCCAAGATATCATCACAGGTGGAAACATTTTATAACTTTGAGGATTTTAAGCTGTCATCATTTTTTTATTGTAAGTAGTCCTATCTGTATCTGCAGTAGTATCTTCAATGTTCACTTCTCAAAGCCATTCTTCAAATTCATTTCCCTAATAGAACCCAAACTATTTGTAAGAACCCAATGAAATTGTTTGTATTAATATCTACAAAGTTGACCAAAACCACACCCCTTTTGTAAATACGTTTTCTGTTAAGAAATATTTTTAAGGGAAAAACAGAATGTGTATAATATATTTAATATGTAATAAATGTATGTGTGTGTAGAATGTGGCTAGATTAACGAAGACCTGACGGAGCTCTGAAGTAAAATAATCTGAATATGCAAATCTTATTATGTTTCAGAGTTATTACGGCAATAGGTGAAGAATTTCATTACGCACAGTTGTGTTTTTGAAAACTTTTTAAATTGTATGTTGAAGTGAATCTAAAAAACTTAAAATTATATTTGTTGCACTCAGAAAGAATAGGGTTTTCAAAATTGGAAAGGAACCCAGAGATACTAAATTTGAAGCATAATTGGTTTCGGCACCTTTCTTTTATTATTTCTCTTAATTTGAAAATACCACTCATTATCGTGAATTTCCCACTAAAAACAACCTACAATAAAAATCTGACATTCTGTTTAAATAACTGTCTTCCTAGTTGTTTTTGGTTAAATTAATAGTTATATTGAGCAAAATAGAAACAGTCATGGAAAACATTCATTTCATACAGAATAACATAATTTCGTTTGTTTTTCCTTGAAAAACACATTTAATGCCTTGGAGGATATCTAGATTGTCGCTGATTTCAGATAAACGTCAGAAATATTCTGAATCAATGGCAAGGGACACAGTTTGGGTGCTCAGCCCCAAGGATGATAATGGGAAACGGGATAGGGAAAGAAAGATCGTGTAGCGACCAATTTTCTGGTGTGCTGCTCCGGCAATCGTCTGGAAAAGATCGTGGAAAGTATGTATCAGAACAGTCGGCTTCAATTCGATTATGCACAAACTCACCGATTACACATCACGAACATCTGCCGAAATCGAACCTCCCAAACACCGGTGCGCTAAAGCAGCTAGGCTACAGCAAATTCTTTATTGTCTCCTAAAGCTCCATAAAATGTGTCACGAAAGTGGTCAGAATGAACTCTTTTGCTACTGAGTCACATGTGAATCTCAATTAGGGTATCACAAATTAATCGCATTTCTGCAAAAACTGTGGTTCTGAAAACAAACCAAGTCCTACGGGATTTCGATGTGGTGTTTGGAAAACTATCTGAATCGTAATTTTAATCTCAAAGTCCTAGCAGTAAAAGCGAACATAAAGATAGAATTCTCTTTCAACTAAACCCTAAATCTAGTTTCACTCTTCTACACCTCGTTTTATGTCTCTACTATTCACAAGCGTCAGTATGACTGAGCCACTTTTCACGATGCACGGAATCTTGACCTTCACCCCACTAATTCTTCTTTTAATCTTCCCCTTCTAATACTTGTATACTTTATTACTATCACTAAACAATTTTCATACTTCGCTCGTCATCATTCGGAAATACCACCTGCGATGTCTTAGGCGAGAGTGCTTCGACGCTTGACGCGCATCGATGGTTTTGAGTTCTACTACTTCTACGTAGAAGTCCTAGGGAACCGCTTGAGAATGGGAAACTTGTCAATTCAACAAACACAGTCGGAATTAGAAACACTGTTATGGGCAACATTTGTTAATGTTTGAACTCTTGGCCAAAAAAAACACTAAAAGTTTCCATCAGTCTTCAGTCTGAAGTCGATTGCGTACAGAAATCACAGTAAGCACAATTCAATTTTGACTGACCCACCATCTTCGTAGTTAAATATTACAATGGCCAAGCCAATTTTGTGGAAGCACGCCTTGAGAACTAACACTATCAGTGGCTTCTTAAGAAGCATTTCTCCAGCTATTTTTTGACAGGTCTCTCTTCAATCTTCCCAAAAATCTGTCAAAAAATGTTTGTAGTCTTCATGGAAGTAAAATAACATTAATACAAACTTATGGGGGAACAATCAGAACATAATATTTATTAACCAAGTTTAATACTATATCCTCTAATGTTCGAGTAACTAACTAGTATTTTAATGTGTTTCAAAACGCAATGATACAAATCAAACGAGGAAACATTCCTATCTCAATTTCAATTAAAATAGCATATAGAAATTGTATTCTATGAATGATCTTAAGGTATACACAAAAGGATTGATTACCAAAAAGTTCTGAAAATAATTCTTAATCACATGGAAACTTACTATAAACACAAAAACACGTTACTGATTTAACTGTAGACGAACATATTTAACTCACGTCAAAATTTGTGGATCGGTTATTATTTAATGAACAGACTTCCGAGTTTTACATACTGTTTTCCATATTTATACAAAAGTACCAACCACAATGTTCTTTCGGCATTCTTCCATAAGTCACTCAATAAATCCAGCTGTTTCATACTGACACATGCAAAGACAGTTTAATAGAACATCGAAGCAATCAACATAACATTGCAACAATTGGTAGACGGATAACGCAGGGTTGGCTACGATTTGGAATTGAAATTGGCGGAATAAATACTCTTGCGAACCCGAAAAATGCAATCGTTAAAATCAAATACTTCTTAATTACAATTATTTTGCCACTGATAAATCCATTCCTCAAAATTTGAAACACATCTAGGAAGACTACTTGTTATAATAGCCAAGATACACATTTACGTATTTGACCTGTGTATTCCGGAGATAAACGGACGATTGGAAACGGCTACAAGCAAATTTTATACATTTCTGACGTAACAATAAACAATGAGTATTTATGGTTGAATCCCTTACAAAATGGTCCAAACGGGCATTGGGGATATTAGTCTTCAAGCGTTTGTCAACACATGGCTGGTATTTACCTTTAAGCGATTTTTTCCCCGTCGATAACAATGTTAGAAAATGTAATCTGAAATAGCAAAGAAACTCCCTTTTCCACACGTCATTCACACTTGTTTTGTTGTTGTTTTTTCACGAAATAACTCAAATCAAAGCACGATTTAGATGTTCCAATTCATTCAGAGATTAACACCATGTTAAGACATTCTATCAACATAGCAATGTGCACTTGTGAATATCGTTATGACGAATTGGTAAAGAAAACCCAGTAGATGTATCATTATTATTGAGAAAGCGATAAACAAATTTTATTGTTTGAAACAAAGTTTCCATTTCAATTAAAATGGGTAAATCAATAGAAATTATATTTCTTACATTCCATTGCAACAAGTAATGATTTATTGTTTTGATGTTCATTAATCGAGCCCGGAAGTTCGGGCATTTATTTTACCTAAAATATGCAGGCAAAAAAGCATTAATTAGTACTAAAATATACATGCAATAAGTCTTTTATTCTGGATACAGTTGGTAGTAATGACACAGGAAAATTTAAAACTCACAATTCATAAGTAAACTTAATGTAATGTAATACAAGTTTCACTTAATGTAAAAAAAAATCTATCAAAATAATTCACATTTGTATTTTAACTAAATTTTACATGAATAGCATTCTTGTGGAAGGAAATATAAACTAGTGGTGCAACAGTACGGCATAGACTTTCTCACACTAGTTTAGTTTCCCGATTTCTTTGGTCATGGCTATCTGTTGGATCATGCCCCATCCTCTTGCCAGCTCCCATCTATCGCCATAATTTTTTATCATTTGCTCAAATTTCTGATTTTCTAACGGTATAAAAAAACTTTAAGAATATTCTAGAATGTCCTTCAGGGAAATTTTCGTTGACAAATTTGGAGCCGTTTTAACGAAAATATCGTTTACGCATTACATTAATTGAAGCGCTTCCTCTCACAAATGCAATAATGTATACTAATACAAATAAATCAATAATAATAATAATAATAATAATAATAATAATATAAATAGCTGGAAATGTGCATATAAAAGGCGTGAGAACTATTTCTAAAAAAATACATGTGTAGCTTTTTGGAAAAAAAATAAAAAAAGAAGAATACAGCAAAATGAATTTTATTCCATCTTAAGCAATGCAATTAGCACTATCCGTTCAAAAAGGGAAAATGGAGACATTTAAGAGAACATGGCGTTTGAGCGCTTCCGAAAATGCGGAAATTTCAGCTCATTTTTACAAAAAACCTTTGAGCTATCGAGAAATTTCACAAGAAATAATTTACAACACGTGTACTTGTGAATGTAATTACGTGAACAAGTCGCCGCTAAATTAAATATTAACGATGTGAGAGTTGTCAAAAATAACATATATGTAATTTTTGAAGAAAAAAAATATTGCAGTATGTTTATGTCACCTTATAGAGTAGATTTAGCACGATCGCTACGAAAAGTTAAAAGACAAAATTTGGGGCCGTGTTTGAGAAAAGTTTGGTTTTGTTATTTTTTAATATTGCACATTTGCTTGTAATATTGATCGAAAAATACTAAAATTTTTAAAAAAAATGTACACGACCTTAATAAAAGAGACTATGGAGAAAAACTTTTACTTGAAGGAAAAACCTCTATCTTCAATGTAATAGGAAGACGCCGAAAAATTCCATCTTTTGAAATTTTCAAAAATTCAGGTAACAGTGAATCGGAACTATGCCGTCTTTAGAAGTATGTGACTCTATTCTTTCAAATGATTTAAAGAAAAAAATTAAACCATTTTGAGAAAAATTTGAAAATTTTCCTGGGGGCTTCATGTAAACAAACCCCAAATTTTATAGAACGTTTTTCAAAATCGCAGCGTTTCCAGTCGAGCCAGATTGGCGGGGGAATATACATTTTAACAAAAATCCCACGTATGGTTAAGGCGCTAATTGTGTTCACAGACGAACTGACGTTTCGCCGTCAATTGATTTTTCGGTATCAAGGAGCCACAAAACTGAGATTCTGGCTACACAAGTTAGAGGATTTTTGTCTAAATTTAGGAACTGTATTTATCCAAATTTTCATTATCGGGGCCCGACAATGAGTTTTTCTGCCGACAATTCGCCGTTTTTTGCGAAGCATTAGATAACTTTCTTTATAATACGTACGTACATTACTACGTATACGAAAAAGTAACTAGTGGTGCTACAGAATGACACTCTTAGTAAAATAATTTTCGGTTTCCTAATAGTAGAACCTAAATATCACTTTAAGAATACTAAAGATGAGTAAAACCAGGTAATCAATGACAATTTTCATTGAAAAAATTGGAGCATTGAAAAGATTGGTTTTTAACAAAATGGCGTTCAAGCTTTCCTGTAAATGCGTAATCCGAAGCTCTTTTTCAGAGATATTTTTTTTTATTTTTTTTTTTTATTTTTCGAAGAACTTCATTTAAAGTAATTGGAGGTACTTTAACTCACAAATTCAATAGTGCTTACAAAAATGCTGGAAACGAGCATATCAACGGCGTGAAAGATATTAAAAACTAGTGGTGTCCCAACAGCACATACTTTCTCGTAATATTACAATGTTATCGTTATGTACAACGGGACGTCCATAATGCTTCATTAATTTCAAACAGAAATTACGCAAACACCACAAACTTTTACAAAAAAAAGTGTACACAACCTTTGAAAGCAGATGCACATATTTTTTCAATGCTCAATATTTTTTCAATTGCTCAATATTTTTCACCTCTGCCGTTATGAAGATATCATGAAATTGCATAACTGATCATACATGCACGAGAATGTTGGCAAGTTCACGTGTGCTAAGCTTCCCATAGGATTTGGCTCATTGAGATGTAGTTTTTCTGATAAAATGGTTAATTCAGAAAGATACTGGCTTTTAAAATACTGCTTTCTAAAATTCAGAAAGATGCTTCTTTCTAAATTCTCAAACGAGAGGTTTACGTCATCTAAACCCTCTTGTTTGATAGCTCCAACAAGTGCTACATAAAAAGAATGGCGTTAATTTATCAGCTATCTGCGCTTAGAGGAGAATATGCGTTCCGCACTGCTGCTTCCAAGGAAGGTGGACCTACCGACTGATTCCTACAGTTGAATCGTGGATCAGTCGAAAGTACAGTTTAAATTATTATCGTACGCATCATTTAACAAGTCATGAATGCTTCAGGGCCTACCTATAGGTTCAAACTATATTATACCCCTATTGTCCTGTGGGCGAATTTGCTGTCGAGGACCCCGAACACGTGATTTTATAGTTTCGATTATCAACTACTCATCCACTCGACTGTTACCAGGATATAATAGACACGTCATTAGTGAGTGTGTGATTGAGCCACTATTCCACACCCAGAGATGTAATGCCTTTAGACGGTTCCGTAAGGAGGATGGAGGAGGTTCGGTTTTAGCGAGTAAAAATCTCGCACGCTGGGTAGTACGGGCTAACCCGTGTATTTTGCAGATTCCACCTTCCCTCCTAAAAAACGCACACATTCCACGTAGGCACACATGCGCGCGCGCACATGCACACAACTCGGAAGCGAACCACTGTAGAGACTCAGAAACACCCTCGGGCGCCAAGTGACTTGTCTAACCGAGTTGTAGAAACGACGTGCTTTACGCCCATGAGGATGCGCTTTCTTATGTTAGTCCACGTCAGCATGGGTGTCTCGTTCAGAGGGTGCAATTCACGTAGAGCTTTTTCTCGCGAAAAAGCTCAGGGTGCAAAAATACCGGCTATCCTGGGGCACTCATACGAGATGATGCACTTTAATACACTCAGGTTTCATTTATCCAAGCAGGCAGGGATCTCAGGCGACTCTTCTTCTTCCATATTATTAATATTAAATTCTGCCTATAGGGCGGGGCGTTTGCCGGTCAGCCAAGTAGCTAATGACTCCTGCCGCGGAAGCCTACGCTCTCAGCAGCTACGCTGGTTCTGAGCTACACACAGCCAGTTTAAATTCATAATCCTTCGACTGTAGTTTTCCCCTCAATTGCAGCATGAAAAAGAGACAAAAGGTTATTAAAGAGGAAACATGCATTCAAATACCTGGTTTGTTGAAAGATTCTTCTGGGAGTAACTCTTCATATTCAGAAGTCAGGAACTGTTCATGGTATATGCAATTATCCAGAATCCTAACATACGGTAAATTTCGTATAATTTGTTCGAAATTAACTGCATTTAAATCACTATAATTTGTTTCACTAGTAGACAGGACGTCTCTCAAATATTCTTCAACATCTTTTAATGCTAATCCCTATGGAGAAAAAAATGATATTTAATGGAAATTCACAAGCTAAATAGATTTGTTTTGTTTGGCAATACAAAACATAATACTTCAATGCTTTTAATATTGAGAGTATCTAATTTTCTAAATTTTATGTAAAACTGTCACAAATAACCAAAATTACTGAAACAAAATAATCTAAGCATGCACAAGAAAAACAAATCAGATTTGACACATCGTTATGAAGTTAAACAGATGAAGATTAATGTTAACAAATTACTTTTAGAGTAGTTGGTATTTTAATTATGAAATATTTACTAATAAGGAAGGAATACACGATCATTCAATGATTAAAAATTATAATGAAACAAAAAGATCCCATGGATCACTTAAACATTACACTAGCCAAAATTTATCTTGAAAGTACTCATATAGAAACCATACTCAAAAGATATAAACTCTACAACTCTACTTCAATCGTATCAACTGCACCAACAATTGTCCAATTAAGCAGTTTAGAGCCTATTTTTTATAGCATACAGAAATCAACCAAAATTATAATACACAATGAAGTAATCCTATACATCAGGGTCAGTATCAACACATGCCTATAAGCAATCTACATATAACATTTATGTTATTTTACAAAACCCTTACTAAATGACACTAAACTTCAGGAGCAATCGCCAGTTACAACCGTTATTGTAGCAACTACTTTAATTCCATTACACAAAAATGATGACAAACAAAACAACAATATTAACACATTAGCCAAATTATATGTAGTATATGCTACCTCTTACATTATCTTAAACAAATATATATGCTTTTTAAAAATTAATACTAATAATAATTAAAATATTTCCTTTTTTAAATTCAACTTTGTGAATTAAAAAGAACATATTGTATGTTATTATGGTAACTGGGCTGTCTGTGTAGTCAGTTGAAAGAAACAAATTGGACAGATTTATGCAAAATTCTTGAAGAATTTTAGAAAATTATCATTTTGAAGTAAAGTACAAAACTATTTAAAATTTTGAAAATATTGTCTGCATTTATTTAACCCTTATGACATTGGGGTTGGTAATCAGAAAAAAGGCTTTTAGTGACCAGGAGAAAAGCAAGGGGCTCAGCATTAACGAAATATATTGAGAAAAAACAAAGAAACCAGTGGTGCTTTGACAACTCATACTTGCTTGTTATTTGTAACTTTTGCAATTTTCTTTTTTTCCTATAATGATGTAAGAAGTAGCATTGTGGGTAAGACAATGATTTGCTGTTTTCCAATAGGTACAGTATTCACTATTAGAGCACTTGAGTGGTGGTAACAAAGTGTTAGTTTTCCCGGGTGATCAGAAATGCAATTTGTTATCTGGCATTATTCATATATTTCATATGTGCCTAATGATAATGCTGTAATATCAGATCACATGTCATAGTCATGCAGTTCAATTTTGACACTACTTATGGGCGTTAAGAGTGTACATCTAGAACACTACACAGGATCTTTGAAGAACATACATGTTTATAGGCACTTTCGTCCTACAGCCAATTTCCTCAGCACAGATATCCATCTTATAGAACATGACCACAAATTCAACATTTCACTTAAATACGCATAATTTATAAATTTATAAAGAATAATTTACCAATGGAAATATGGCAAGAAATAAAAACAACAGCAAAACCAGGGAAAATATAAGACAAGCACTTATTGCACATTTAACAAATAAATTTAGCACATGTAGAATAAGCTATGCTTGGATGTTAAGATAGAATTGCTGGAATTCCATTGTTGGCAGAAGGGAACATGGAGATGCTTTTGAGAACTGAACAGTGGGCAGACGACCAACACAAGGATTCGGAGAGATAGCAAGGAAGTCTCATAAATTTACACCAAAACTTGAGAAAGTGATGGCCAATGATTCCCCGACTGAGGATATAAGAGGAAAAATTTGTCACTCACTCTACTGTCTGATGCACTGTGCCTTTCCAAAGATAATGTCAGAAGTTTAAAAAATAAATGTGTGTTTTAGCAAGATAATAATGATTTTATGTTTACTAAAAACCATTTCGTTTCCACATTTGGCAGGAATAGAGGTGATTTTCGCATGTAAAATCATTCCGTCCCGAGATTTTTGGTCAGGGATGGCATGGTTCCGTCTCACAAAGGTTTCGCCTTAGACAGGTTTTATTGTAGTTGTAGACCAATAATGCAAATAAAAAAAAGAAGAATAATAATTAAACACCAATAATAAATGATTTTACAAAAATGGAAAAAGAATAAGTTAGCGGTTTTGCTTATCTTGCGTTGTGTAGCAAAAGTCGGGAGACTGTATGCCGAGGGATATGCCCAGTTCCCTCTGCGCACAGTCTCATGACTTGGCTCAACATATTCTTTTCCACTTTTTTTATATCTTTTATTATTGGTTTTTAATGATTATTATTATTCCAGTTTTTTTATGCGTGTATTGCAATTTAATAATGACTATTTTCTTTATCTGAATCATTCTGCATCTTATTCTGCATCTTATCTGCATCTTATTCTGCATCATTGGTCTCCAACCATTATAATGTAAAATGTATATATTATTTGTATTAATACTCCCCCTTTGCATTTCATATTTTGTAATTTCATTTGCTGTTGGTCTGTAATTATAATAATTTTAAATGTATCTATTATTTATATTAATCCCACCACTTTGTCTTATTTTGTATTTTTATTTCATTTTATTTTGTTTATATTTGTTAACTGATGACAGCAAAGTGGTTGAAAGCCGGTTTTCCAAATAAATATATTAAGTTGACGGAGACGACTTCCAATAATTCTTCACATATTAGATGTGTTGTTTGGCACATAAATGCTCTTATAATTTTTAGTTGGCCAGACACACCATTGTTATATGAATATTGTACAAGCCTCTCGTTGGAATCTTGATGTAGATTTGAATTATGTAAGCAAAGCAAGTAAATTGGAGACAGAAGTATTTTGAGATAATGCTTTAGAATTTTGCAACTTCCACAATCAACACTGTTTTGAGCAACCTTTACTTACTCTTACTATAAAAAAAACATACAGCACAAAATACATTGGACCCTACAGTAGAATGGCCAAACTACAATAAACAAAATTATTTAAAAAATAAATTTAGATGTTGCTGCATTTCTTAGACTAACAAAGAACGGAAAACTGACCTCATCACTTATCAAAATATCACGCAAATGCTGATCAACTATTGGCTCCAGGTCCACAAATTCACTTCCACTTGCATCAGGTATTGAAGGGTAAATGTCTTGCACTTCACATTGCTCTTCATTACCATACAGCCATGTTTCCACATTGTTATCATATCCATTACATGCTTGATGCACAGAATTATACACAGGAAGATCTGGTAGATTGGAATGATTTTTATTTGATGCTTCATTGTATCTAGAAAAACTAAAGTCAGTTTTTGGCAAATATCCATTTTTTTGAACTTCAAAACGCACTGGTCCAGTTTTATTTCTGAAACTACCAATGGCAGGTTTGACACACATACGTGACGGTTTTGCTTTGATTGAAAAACTTGAATGTCGTCGCTTGCCTTTGAAAGTTGTTTTTTGTCGCAAAACAAGAGAACTAACATGAGCACTCTTAACAGATTCTACAAGTTTGACAATTGCATATGGACCACTATCATTTTTACAGACCTGCAAATAAAATACACTAAAATAAGTACCCAAAATATTCTACCAACTTTAAAATAGCATAATTTCAAACTTGAGAATTACTGGATAATCCATTAAAATTAAAAATCCTTGCAGTTTTATCTTTAACAAAGAAAGTAATTATTAACCATGCTTTTTACTGTCAATTCACGAAAACATGAAATTCTTGTAAAAAAGGATTCCAGAAAATTTGCATATGTGTGTAGCCTAACACTATTATCCAATTTAAATGTAATAAACTTGCAACAGATCACTTGTGATTCAATTGAAGTTATTCGATTCAAAACAAACAGTTATTGGAGATTCAATACCAAAAATTAAAACCATAAACAAGCTCCTGAATAGACAAAGTCAAGCTAATAATCAGTGACAAATCACTATATTTAAATTGGAATACTCTCAAATACATTAACTAGTCAAAGCATGACTTTGAAGATAGATAACCAACTCACCTTGCAAACGTCTGGTATAGATCTCAGAAATGTTGTGACATCACGAAACCCAAATTCATAAAAGGGTATATCTTGACCCTCTTGTGCTTTGAAGTCACGACGCAATTTCAACACAGTTACTTCTACAGGTGATGAAACTAGAAGTCCACGGATAATTGTCTTAACTTCTTCAATAGAATTGTTAGCCATTCTTTCCAGAATACCAGCAAAAAATCAAAATGCATGTAGAACCTTCCACGAGATTGATAATTCTCAGCTTCAAAATAACACTTGCATAATTTAAAGGGAAAAATACTGGGAATTGTATTTCCTCAGTTCAAACCAAATTCTATATTTTTTTTATTTTTTCAGAGAAATGTCACTAATGTTTACCAACATATAATACATCGGCAGTATATTAGATCACCATTCAACGGAACAATGCATTTAAAAATATCAGTTATCTGAACCATGATTCTAGATATCAACCCCATGACATTTCGAAAGTTCCAAACACAATACCCAAGAAAAAGAGTATTGTTACAGCGCTATCAGCACAGCAATACCCTTGAATTTCCATCCCATTTCACCATAAACTTTATGAATCATCACGCTCTTCTTCCCACACTATCTTAAACAACATCCAAATCAACTCCAAGTCACATGTACCCAGTTCACATTTGCATACGTTCAGACCACAATCGCACATGTAATCAACCAGCTTCAAGCGAAAGCACTCCGCCGCTTTCATCTCTCATGCAAATCTTTCGATTGACACATGCTTACCAACATACGCGCGTGAATAATGGTTCCAGAAATAACTTGAAAAGTGAAAAGTGAAAAGTGTAAAGTGATTGGACCTTAGAGGTAAAAAATAATACTTACATAGTACATATTGAATATATATCATATTGATTTTTTACAGCAAAACCTATATAAAACTCAATAAATTAGAGCAGTTATTATATTTCAATAGATTGGCACACCTATAACAAAATGCTTTAAAAGCACGTTCCCGCCTTTCATAGAAGGCATGGAATAAGGTGTAAGAAATACCGTGACATGTAAAATTGTGAAAACTAAATGCGTAACGTTACAAAAAAAAGCGATAGGAGCGATCATGTTCCGAACTGCACAAACCATTAAAAAAAATAAACAACTGTAGGCATTTGTGCAAATGAAAATGTTCTTGTGTCTAATAAAAACGTTCATTGTAAATAATTATCACATTCACGCTTCAGAAATTGCTATAGTATGTACTCCATACCATATTCATGGTATCGCATCGTCTGGAGTTTAATACATCGAACATGAAAGAAGACGTGTTGCTCGCTTATTTTCTCACACTAAATTACATTTTACCTGGGTACAATGAACTTAATGTACCACATAAGTACCATATGTTATTCCAATAGTTGAGGTACTGGTATTAGATATTATTACGTATTAATACATATACTTCGATTTAAACATTGAGTCCGTTGACGTTGTTGACGTTTAATCAGATATTTCGGTGTCATTCAATTAAGAGCTTCAACGTCTATAGAACTATACTACTATAGATTTTTTGGCTTAGCCAAAGGTTAGTGAGCTATGCGTTGCAGTGCGCACGCATTTTGTGTTTTACTGCTATGTGTAAGTGGCTGGGTTCGTGTCGGACCGCAGTCAATATCCAAATCGGCTTTTGTGTAGCACTCCGCCTTTAGAATATCAGAGGGGAGTGTTTGCCTTTGCTCTATTGTGTGGACGTGTTGAGCTAATTGTTTTAGCGTTGCCTGAACTTCGTTGGTTTGAAAGGCTTGATAGGCTTCGTTAAACGAAAGCCGTCTCAAGCATTGAGTGAAGGACTCGGTATCAAGTTCCATCTCGAGTACTTTCAACCGTTTCAGAAACGGAGGGCGTCCTATGAGCCGTAGAATTTCGTTCAGCTCAAGTGTATCCTTGTACTTCCTGTGCTGTGGTCCACCACGTTGCCGCAGCGTAGGTGGCCACAGGCCGGCAACACGTTTTATAGAGTACCAAGCGAAGTTCCGAGGAAAGTGTAGGTTCCCTCAAAAGATCTTGTAGGAGTCTAACTCTTTGTTGTAATTTTGATTCGCCTGACATGTAAATGCCAGCGCATCCTTCACTTAAAAGTGACGCCTAAGTAGGTTGCCTTAGGGGCCCATGTTAGTTCTTGTGTAAGTTTAAGTGTAATTTGTTTTGCTGGTGTAAAGCGCATAGTGTACTTGTGTTTGCGACGGGTGTAACAGATGGCCTGCGACTTTTCCGCTGAAAAAGTCAAGTGGTTTTATTCCGCCCACTTCAGCGTCAGGTTCATCTGTTTTTGAAGTATTTTGAGTTTGTGGTCTAGGTTTATTCCTCTTGCTAAGCCATCTGCATAAAGGAAGAGCCGTATTCGTGGTATATGTGGGATGTCATTGTCATTGACTACTATAATAATATCTAAGCTCTCTTTTATGTCACTACTGTACTGACGTTTAAGCTCTCGATGACACAACTTTCTCCACTGTAAACACACCATTTCTGACCATGAGAGATTGGTCACGATTGTATCTTGCACCAATGGTTAAACGTACATATCTACCATAATGTAAATATAATACATAATGTAGGCCTACATGATTTTCAGTACAATTCTGCTCACCTCATCGTTTTGTCGGGCCCACGGAGTCTTTAGGCCCCCAAAAACGTGGAAATTCGAATCAAGAGGCACGTACCGACACCGACACACTCTCTGTACAAATCTTATAAATTAAACATATAACAAAACAACGAGTTTCTCATTCCTCTTCGCAGGTGAAAATGTTTGTACCTCAATTCGATTGGCGAGCGAGTTTCATCTGGCACAATAGTATTTTCAAATTTCGACTTCTAAGCAAAGGTTGACTTGACAGAAAGGAATGGCGTTGCCGCGAACAATGCAGTCTCGATATAGTTAGGGCACGACGCACGATTAATATTTTAACAACATAACTATATCACACGCTACTTAGAATTTCCGCTCATGTAAAGCAATTTATCAAGATTAACCTCACTCTCAATATTTGTAATGTCACTTAGCTGATCAAGTAAATTCAAGTCAAACGATTCAATTGTTTCATAATCAGAGGTGACAACAAAGCCGTCGCTTTTGTAACTGTTGTCTACACTCTGATTTAAAAGCAGTGGCACTTCAAAGTCACCAGCTGGAAGCAGAAGGGGACAGTCATCCAATCGGGAGCTCCAAAACCAAAAATTTAAGCCGTACCGGGGCTCCCGATTGGGTGACAGTGTTCCCCTGTCCGGCCAGCTCGTGACCTTGAAGTGTCACTAAGTTTAAATCGCGTGTAGATTACGGCACTGGCATCTTAATAGCGTAGCCACATGAACTGTCAATTACACTTAATAGATTATATCAATTTTGAAATATGTGCGGGTGTACACTAAACATAAATTAGTGAGGTACTGATCCGTAAAAGTAGGGATTATTACGCAGAATAAAATACTAAAATATGCAAAAACATGTACTACATGCATAAAAATTTGGGAAATCATGAAACAAATACTTCTAAACGCCCTTAAATAGACGAAGCATGGAACTTTTGCGCGGTCATCGCCAAACGCACACACTGCGCGGGTCCATCTTCCTCAAGCGACTAACTAGTGAGACTGTAATGTGGTCTCTAGGTTCCCTCCGGCAAATGGCGTAGATGGGTGGAGTCCATACAGCCAGTCTTAATAGCGGACAAACATAGCAAAGTCTTTGGTGACCAACACTTACATCATTTACCTTTTATTCGTGATCCCTTTTTGACAATCGGAGAATGGAATTTTGATATGAAACAAGTCGGACCTAAGCTTAAGATAATTGATAGACCTATCTCGTTTACCCCAATCATCCACCGGCGAGGTAGCCTTCCATTCGTTTAGATTTAGATTTATTTACTCAAAAAAAAAAAACACAGTAAAAACTCTATGTGATGTATGGTGGAGAAGATTAACTGCGCACATTTTCTTGAGTTACAGAATTCTTTCCCGCCGTTTTATCTATAAATAGGTGAAAGATGAGTAAAACTTTAAAATAAATAAATAAAAATTAATGTAAAAAATGCGCAAGATAACAATATTTAAAAAATACTGACATGTTCATTCTCGAGTTATGAGAAAAGTATTTAAGATAGTGGGAATTGCAAGTATGATTCTTCTGCATTGCTAACAAAATAGTAACTCGTCCTTACCTCTACTCCTACCATTACAAGCAAAAGGAGAGTTCAACAAAACGAGAGCATGGTAAAGCTACATTTACGCCCAGAAGCAAAACAAGGGGTCATCTCAGTATTTGCTCAATGGATCAGGGAAACTGGACAAAAACCTGATGGCGAGGGGGTCAGTGAGCCGGAAGCCGAATATAAGACTTTTTTAAAAATGTACTAATGTATACTAATTTTGGTTAATATATAAGTGTCCCATTTAACTTGAAATAACTCAAAAAATTGAGCCTAGACCAAATCTTAACAGTTTTGAAGGGGGAATCATTCTATGCTAAAATCAGCACCCCCCCTGCCCCCAGCGGATGGGGCGGTGGGCAACATTGAAATCTTAAATAGGAACCCCCATTTTTTATTCAGATTCAGATTCTACAAATACATAAAATTAAAAATACATAAGTTTTGTCTGAAACTTTTTTTCTGATTTGTGTTAGGTGGAGCTGTAATCGCAAAAATTTAATTTTTAGTCCGCCTTCCTAGTCAGCCGTCCGCGAAATTTCATAGTTTTCCGGAAGTAAGTAATTCTCTGGACCACGACGTAGGGGAGCGACTTTACCCGTTATTAGGAAAGGAGTGCGAGCTGAGATCTAGTATAGTGCAATCAGCAGCGAGCGATGCCTGTACGAACGGAATTCGCACGAGTTATCCCGTGAGGTGCGAAAGAAACATTCACGCGGGCGTAGTAAAAGGCGTCGGGCTTAGGCGTTGAAGAAGACGAGGACGGAACCGGGAGATCAAGACCAGAAGAGGACGCGAGTAGGCATCAGGTAGTCCCGCCGAGGCCAGTGCACTCCAAGGACAAACGTCGAAATCCAGAGGAGGCAACGGTGTGTGAGCACCGTAATATGTAGGTCACGTTCACGTCAGCCGGGGAGAACTAGTTAGAAGGAAAGTGCGAGAGAATTAAGGACACGGGAGGCAACATAATTAAATTCAAAGTTCTAGCCATTTTGAAGCACTATTGCCTACAAAGAAATTGTAAATAGGTCATATTCATCCTTGTTATTCATTGCCACAGCAAAAATTGTGTAAAGAGAATGGTGCATTTGCACACATTTTATATGTAACATTGAGGAAAAATGATGAATTGTAAATTTTGTTCATGTTCAGTGTAAATAGGAGTAATAACAGACTTAGTCAAGCAGAGTTATAAAGGGAATTCACCCATAAGGGTGAATATTTTGTGAGTAGATTTTTAAGTTCTTGAAAGTTTCGAAATTTTGATTTTTTCATTTGTATGGTTTGTAAGAGACGAAGTGGTTTTCTGAAATCAGGTAAACTAGTTTAAATGATTTATGTGTTCTTGTTCTTGGATTGGCTCTCAACTCCCCAAAAGATCCCATTGCCGTGTGATATTATTAGCTCGCTAGAGCACGATATCTGCGAACCACCCCAACGGGCGATTCTATGGAAGTTATGGTTGCAGTAGGGGGGTTCGTCAGAATATATATAATCATTGTTTTGTTAAAATGAACATTACTTTTTTCCTTTCGATAATCAGTATAGTATATAATTG